TATATATATATATATATATATCTCATGTGCTAGAATCCATCATCGGCTTTTTCCTATAATCTATCATGTGTAATTGCAAAAACAAGTAAACGCTATGCAGTTTATCATATGGAATAGTATAATAACAGCATTTGATTCTATGATTTTTTTTAATGTAAAAATAACTTTAAAGATGATACATTTCTAGCACATGATAGATTATAGGAAAAAGCTGATGATGGATTCTAGCACATAAGATATATTAAGATGGCTAAATAAATAAAATCTAGCAAGCAAATAATTACCTCAACACAAGGACGATTGGAGGCAAAAGTGATTAGGGATTCTATAAATATCTAAGCATCTAAGCAAATCAAGAGGTTTGGGGGCATCATTTCTCTTTGAGTTCTTCACCTAAATTGACAATAAATAGATGGGACGAGAGGAGAAAAATGTATTTTTTTATGATTATGGGTTGTTGTATTGAAAAAAATGAAAAGCCGAAAGTAACCCAAATTAGTTTGTTGGCTGGCTGAGGCGATGAGCCAAAACTTTAAATTTATATTTAAAATAATATTCATAAATAAAATAAATAATATGAGGAGAATTTACCGGTTCATGCATATTATTTTTGGATATAAACTGATATGCATGAACTAGACTTATTATCCACTTTCTTCACGAATAAAGTAGATATTATCCAAAATAATATGCATGAATATTGAATAAATATGTATATCCAAAATTTATTTATCGATTCAGAAAATAAAATGACATGAGAGTGCATGAACCTAAAATGGTACATAAACATAGTAGACAACCAACCATACTATTGCCGTTGAAGTAGACAACCCAATGGGTGACAGCGGAAAGGAAGACGAGGAACTATCCAATGTGGCTCGACATTAATAGATTTACTTGTCAATTAGATGTAGCTAAAATAGCCATCCGGTGGTGTCATGTCATCATCCTCTCCTAAAAAGCTCCTTGTCATGAAATAAAATTGATTGCAATTTAGAGGGACTAACTTTCATTTCTCACAATAAGAAAAATACTTTTTTTTTAATATGTGGTTCAACAAAGGAAAACATCATGAGCAAATTCCACTAATTCCATACTATAAAAATCGGTAATTATCGTCCGAAGATCCTATCCAATCCAATCTGTCAACATTATTCCGTCCTTTTTATCTAGTAGATCGATGTCCTTCCTGTCTCAAGAAGCAGGTTGAAGCCCTTTTCTTGGTGCTAGCTAGCACTCTCTCATTGTTGTGTGCTTCGTACCATTGGTATTTATTTTGATCTTGTAAAAACCTAGGATGTTGCGCTTTCCATGGCATAATCTGATGGTGTAGTTGTTTGGATTGAGCATCAAACAATATTGTAAGAACCATATTCTGATTTCTTATTGATTATCTATGGTTTCTAGTTGACTATGGTTCTAAATTATGGCAAACTTCTCGTAGCGGTAGCATTCTCCAGCTTGCCGTTGGTTGGGGATGACATCGACATCGCGTCGGAGGAGAAGCTCTTGGACTTGTACGAGAGGTGGCAGAGCCACCATGGCATGTCACGCAGCGTCGACGAGAAGCGCATCCGCTTTGATGTTTTTAAAGAGAACGCTAACTTCGTGTTCGCGTCCAACAAGAAAGCCAAGCCTTACAAGCTTAGCCTCAACAAGTTCGGCGATACGGCGAGGGAGGAGTTCAAGAGGACGTACGCAGGGACGAGGATTCGTCGCCGCAGCACTCTCAGAGGAAGAGGAAATTCTCTGTTGGTAGAGGAAATTCTCCTGGAGTATACCTGTAAACATGATAACTCATTGTGACAAGCATATATGTACATCTTTAAGCACAAGATTGATGTTTCAGTAGAATACAGCAGCATAAGGGTATTCATGAATGTACTGATAGGTTAAAGGAGGATTTGCTTACAAATGACCAAACTTGGTGCCTTGCTCAACCTGCAGACATGCGTAGGACGAGCACTGATGGCACAGCGCAAACTCTCTTCCCACATTTCTTGGGACTGATGGGGCAAGGACGAGATGAGGTCCATGCTCCAATTCTGCAGCTCACTGAAGTCCAAGAGCTTCTCCTCCGACGCGATGTCATCCCCAGCCAAGGGCAAGCTGGAGAATGCAACCGCAACGAGAAGTTTGCCAAAATTTAGAACCATAGTCAACTAGAAACCATAATATCAATCGATAATCAATAAGAAATCAGAATATGGTTCTTACAATATTGTTTGGTGCTCAATCCAAACAACTACACCATCAGATTATGCCATGGAAAGCGCAACATCCTAGGTTTTTACAAGATCAAAATAAATACCAATGGTACGAAGCACACACAACAATGAGCATTGAGATGTAGAATCTAATCACACGGAACAGAAGATACCAAGTGTTAGATGATACAAACTCACTTACAAAGACAATAACACACATATATGATAACAAGTTTGCCCTAATCCCAAGTGATGCAAGGTCTCACAACTGTCAGAACCATCACAGCTTCTTTCCCTTCTTAATCCAAAAATTATTCTTACAGACTCTGGTATCAACTTAATTAACATTGATTGAAATTACACTAATTCTTAACCACATATGCACTGCAACTGCCACGGGGTAATCAACTTCTTTGCAGCTGATTGGGATTAATTTAATCAGCTTTACAGTATAACACTGAAGACAACCAAGTTCATAATATATATCTCACAACTCCAGAATCATGGAGCGCGGGCAATAGTGAGCTTCTCTCAAGGTCACAGAGCAACGGAATGAAGTCACCATACAGCTGGAACAAACAAAATTTTCACGTCCTCATGATATTCTAAACCCTGTCAAACAACAATATACAAATCAAATGAAGCACATGAATGAGCATCATAATTGTTGCATTTAATCCAGAAATCTGCTTAGCCACACATGTAATATTTTGCACATTAAAATAATTAATGTAAAAAAAGAGATTACCTGAAAGGTATTGCACCACCATAAAAATGATCAACAAGGCAATGCCATATTTTCATAAAAATAGGACGACCATGAATAACCATAATCACTTGCAGTGGTTCACAAGAAAATTCCCTAACTCTGTCATCTAGTTGTTTGGAATGGTGTGCCATCTCATTTGATATAATTGTTTTTAGATGACACACCAAGTCAGGAACGGATGCACGCATGAGGTGGAAAGAACATATAACCAATGAAACCAAGCAGATGTAGTTATCAGTCCCAACAAGAACCAAGTCATTCGATTATAATTTGAAGGAGAATTTCACTAGATTATTTTTTATCACCAACAACCCTGGTCATAATAGATCTCTTCTTTTTGTTTTTCCAGAATTCATCCTTGCCTTTTTTCGGTTTCAAACCAAATTTGCTATTCAGTATTCCAAGTATAGCACTTCTATCCCTCCGATTTTTTGTTGCAGCTTTGACATCCAAAATAGCCCGCAATTTCTGATAGGATCTGGCCTCAGGCACCTGCCCGCTTCTGACCATTTGCTTGTGATAATAGAATGCTCTAGTAAAATCACGTACACGAACATATGCATATATCATTGTCGAATAAGTTACAGAGTCAGGCTTCAAATTGAGGGCACTCATATCTTTCAGCAACTGTGGTAACTTGCAGTGTTGCCCTCCCCGTGCATATGCATTCATCAGTATATTGTAGGTCATGACTGTTGGCTGCAAGCCAAGCTTTCCAAATTCATGTATCACATCTCTTGCTTGAACATAAAGACCATGTTTAGCCAGACCATCTAGAATAATGTTAAATGTAACTCTTGTACCTTCAACTTTGTTGCTGATCATGGATTTCCATATCTCCATTAATTTATCAGTTTCACCAGCTCGCCTGAATGCATCAAGCAGAGCTGTGTATGTTTCTATTGAGGGTGATATCCCCTCTCTTTTCATATTCTCATATGCGGCATATGCTTTTTCATGCCATCCACCAACTGAATATGCATGAATCAAAGCAGTATATGAGTGTGACGTGGGTTTAATTCCAGCCCTTTTCATCCGCAAAAATGCATCTGCTGCCACGTCACTCATTTTCCTCTGTCTTCCATAGGCACTTATGAGGCAGGTATATGATTTTACATTTGGTTTCAAGCCTAAACCTTGCATCTCAGTTATTAAAGATTCAACTATTTCAGGTTGCATTCTTCTGCTATAGGCATTCATTAGAATGTTGTACGTTGCTGTAGTTGGCTTTAGTCCCTTTTCTTTCAGCTCATGAAAGAGACCTTCTGCCTCCTCAACCTGGTCGGATTTACTATAGGCATCCATCAAGGTGTTGTAAATTATGATGTTGGCTGAAATTCCTTTCCTTTCCATTTCTGCTTGAATGATGAGAGCTTCCTTTTTCAGCCCGTCATCACAGAAGGATTTAATAAGAGTGCCAATGAGTTCCAAACTCCATTTGATACCTTTTCTGTTCATCCTTTCAAAGAATTCCCAGGCATCCTTTGAGTGCTTACCATTTTTCCTCATGATGGTTATCAGAACAGAACAAGTTACATGATCTGGTTTGATGTTGTTGACTTCAAGTGCTTCATACACTTTCCAGGCATCATCATATCTGAAATTTTAAATGAGTAAGATCAGACAAAATATAAAAATTGGTGCAATCAAAAGGGTCACGAAAAGTCAGCCAGGCAAATAGATGCATTAGCTATATGTGTCTTTAAACCAACCAAATCAGCATCACTCAAATGACGATCAAAGGCACAAGTACAAGTGCCACAAGCAAGCTGTTGAATCAGGCCTATAACTGCAAAACCAAGACACTCAAGCTTAACATGCGAGTAGATAAAGGATAATTTTGTTCGATCATCAAGTAAGAACCAGAAAGTATTTCTGATTGCAAAAGGTCCAGGAAAAGATGAGAGAACTTTTCCTCTCAAGACAATGCTGAATTGGTATAATAATATATTTTTCCAAGGATTGATGGGTTACCCCCTCTGCTGCACCATGTTCGTGCACCAGTTTTACATGGAGCCACGATAAGCAACATGGCAAACTGCATGCATCCTTGCTCTGTGCCTCTCTGTATGATGTAATTGTGTCTGCACATGCCGTAGGTATAGCATCTATATGCATGTATGCAAATATGTTCTTCATGTGGGATGTTTTAGTTTGTTGTTCTTCCTCTAGGCTTGCTACAGTATATTTTATATTTCTTCAGATGCCTGGAAATAGGTCAAACATCAAGAAAATTCATCAACCACTGCACAGGCATGAATATATATAATTTTGCAATTAATTGAAACATTATAAAATGACACTACCATACTATGATTTTACATAACCCAAGGACATAGTAAGTCCTAAATTTTCTTAAACCAATAAAACCTCTAATGACGATAAACTTTCATCCAAACATCAATTTGACTTCCACTAGTTCAAATTTCAGGCATCCTTGAAGAACTGAAGTTGAGGATAATCATGACTAGTTTGTGTAATACAACTAGCATTCAAGTCTAATCAAATCCAAGTAATAAGAGGCAACAGCAACAAGTCCCCATACTGCTATAGCATTAGAACATATTTCTTCCCAGAAATCATATACAACAGAAGAAAAGGATTTAAACTACTGTATCATATAGGAGTTCCAGCTTTGTCATCTCATAAGAATATGCACAGGCTTTATGTAGCTCAAGATTTTAATTACAATTGATATTTTCATTATGGACTAATTTTTACTGTATCATTCCAACTATCTCCATAAGTAACGGTACCGACGGTTTTACCTACAGTTGTTATCTAGAAACATTACATAGCAAAAAGCCATGAAGAACAATAGAACTTCTCACCTCCCGCAGGATGCAAGGCCAGATATGGCAGAGTTATAGACGCATACATCCCTGAATCTCTTCCCCTTGGGCAAGTTCTGAAAGAGAACCATCAGCTTGTCCCCCATGCCCGCTCTACCCAGTACCGGGAACAGCACCGAGCAAGCCCGCGGCGTCACCAGCGACGGCTCCTGCAACCCCATCCACTGAAACAGATAAAGGCACCCCCAAGGCAAGCCCTCCTCCCCCATCCTCCCAAGCAGCTCGATACACTCCCCTTCCCCGACCCTCCCGGCGTAAGGACCCAAGAGTTCCCCTAGCGTGGCGTTCTCCGGGAGGCTCCTCGCGACGCCCAAGATCTCCGCCACGACTCCATCTTCGGCCGGTTGTGGCGGCGACGGCGACGGCGGCTCGAGCACTTGTCCTTCGTCCTCGAGGCCGTCGTGGTCAAGGTCGGCGGAGTCGATGTTGGCGATGTGCCAAGACGTGCGACGGTTCCTCTGTAGGGAGAGGCGGCCGTCCTGCTTGGGGTCATCGGCCGAGGAGGAGGAGCGGAACCTGAAGAACTCGAGAATGGGGTCGGAGGCCTCATCGTCCTCTTTCTCCTCCTCCTCTGCTTCTTCATCGATGTTTCCTTCTTCTGCTGCTGGTCCTCCCTGGTCAAATTCGCTCTCCTCTTCATCGGCTTGGAGATGGGGGAGAAAGATGGGCGACGGAGAGGTAATGGAGGCGGAAGAGGACGAGGAGCATCGGGGAGTTGCTTGGGCTTTGAGGGGTGGGAGATGGAAGCGAATAGGAAGAGGAGGAGGTGAAAGAGGGACGAAGGGGAGGAGCGATGAGGGCTTGTGAGGGCAGAGAGCGGGTGGAGTAGTAGAAGCGTTGGAGGAGGAGGAGAAGGCTCCGAGGGTTCTGAGCGCCATCAACGTTTCCCGATGGATTGCCGAGCCGATTAAATGGATAGCGTCGGAGGAAATAAGCTGAGAGATTATATTACTTAAAATTTAAAAAAAATGAATTTTTTTTTCAAAAAGTTTTTTTAATAATTTAAAATAATTTAAAATAAATGAATGATAATATTTTCTGATGATAATTACTGTTTCAATAGTCTGGAATCAGTGGAATTACGCATGATGTTTTCTTTTATGGCAACCAATGATCGGGAGTATGATTGGAGTGTAATTAAGGTATTTTTATCAAACCAATCTTATTTTCTTTATAACTAATAGTAAATCATTCTAAGATGTTTAGAATACATTCAAACTTCTCGAACTACTATTGGTGATATGAAAATATGTTTACTGTTTTTTTTTTTATTTTTATGTAAATTTATAGTGATTGATTTTTTAAATAAATTTTTTTTAGAATGAATCTAAGATCGAGTGTAATTCAAACTTCTAAATCTATCAAAACTTGTTCTGAACTATTAAGATGAGATGTTAATATATTTATTATTTTTTATATAAATTTAGGTTAATTAATTTTTGAAATAAAATATTTTTTTGTTGAATGATTGAGTGTAATTAGAGTATAATTTTGAATTTTTACTAAACATATTCAAATTTCTCTGGAACTACTAAGGTGATATGGAAATATGTTTTTTTTATATGAATTTAAGATGATTAACTTTAAAAAAATTATTTTTATGTTGAATATGTGATCGAGTATAATTCGAATTAATTTTTATCAAATCAATTTAAACTTATTTTTATATAAATTTAATATATTTTTTTAATATATATTATGTCAATTAAGTAAATTACAAGAAGAAGGAGGAGGTGAGAAGGTAGATAAAGAAGAGGAATACGGGGAGGAAGTGAAGTGAGAGAAGAAGGTGGATTGGGAGGAGGAGGTGGCGGTGGAGTGAGAGTAGGAAGAGGCTGATGTAGAGTGGGAGTGGGGTGAGGAGAAGGAGGAGGGTGGTGGAGTGGAAGGTAAGAGGTGGAGTGGGAGGAAGATAGAGAGAAGAAGCGAAAGGTAACGAAGCGACAAAATGGGAGGATGAGAAGACGGTAAAGGTGGAGCGGGAGGAGTGAGGGTGAAGGTGAGGGGGTAATTTGAGAAAATAAAAGGGTAATCTAGGATTTTAATAAATCAATTGAATAGTTAAGATTTAGTTAAATCAGTTGATCCGATTCATTAAAAAAATAGTTTAATTCTAAAAAATCAATTCAAATCTAATTAAAAGATAATCATTATCTTTTTATAATTTGTTGAAGGTATTTTGATGAAAGCATAAATAAAGATATCCTTTGCTAAAATGTCATATCATAAAAGCCAATTAGTATGAATTTTTTTCTAACAAAATTTGAGGATTTTATTATAATACGATTCTAACAACATTCGATGAGTTTTTTATTCTATGATAAATTTGAAATAAATTTAATCTAAAAAATAATATATTTTAATAGGTTTTATAGACGAGTATAATTCGAATATAACTTGAATACAATGGATTTGACTTGATTCAAAGGGATCCTATCTAAATCGACTTGATTTGGATCGAATTGACCGATTGAGTTTGAAATAACCTAATTCAACAGTATGGATTGTTGAAAAAAGTGATATCACTTTATTAAAAATCAAATATATGAGCATCAATCAATAAAAACCTATTTAGTGGCTCACAACAGCTCACACTCACAACACGGAACAAATCAGCTGTCGTCAAAGAAAATTGACTTTTACAACAAAAGTGGAAAAAAGTTTTCAACCAACGGCTACTCGGGGGAATACAATGAGATAAAAGTTTCAGAAATTGATTATATATATATATATATAGCAGTTTATAATAATAGTCGATGAATAAATTAAATAAATTTGATTAGTTTAAAAATATTTTTTATATATCAAAATAATTAAATTTGGTATTGATTACAAATTATAAATTTATTAAATATTTTAAATATTTATCTTTTATATATTAATTAAATATATAATTAAAAGATTGTTCTTCAACTCAAATCAGGAATGAATATATTATTTATTTAATTCCTGCTGCTGTCGGGGGTATTCAGAACTGAACAGGTCAGGACCACAATGCCGAATCAGATCGATCTCATTCTCTGGGGCAAATACAGATTGGTTCGCCATTGCTATCAGCATGACAAGACGCGTTGCTGATAAGTTTTCTTGTTGAGATTTGTCATGACTGGCTTTATATATCGCAGTAGATTTTGCTCATGTCCAGGAGTATCATTCATGAAACTGGCATCTCTTGATCCTTTATATCACTGCAAAAAGTTGGGTTCTTGTAATAGATGAACAAGTCCACATTGCTATCTTACTTCGATAATAATTTGCCGGTATTCAATTCTATTGTATAAACAGTTTGTTTTGTTCAAGTGTACCAAGTTACTAGTAATTTGTCATGCAGTGCCGTGTATCCCAATTCATCATTAATTCCATATTCGTATATTATTTCGTATAGTAATGTGATATCCTGCAACATGACGAGTTGTTGTAGCAGTAAAGAATACAGTGGAAATCCTTACCAAAGTTCTGCATGAAGGTGAATGATCAAAGCAGCAACCTATCTTCTTATGGCAGCAACAACTAGCTTTCAGTTCTCATCAAAGATGGCTTCTTCTACACCGGGTTGGGAGATGTCTTAATAGGATAGCCCTCTTCGCCCCACTCCAGTCCCCATGAGTTCTTCACTATCCAGTACATACCATCTTCAGATGTCCCGTAGCCTACGATGGCGACTTGATGATTCAACTTTGTTCCATAGCTCCTTGTGAAGACACCCTAAACTAAAGCAACACAAAAGTGTTGTCTTTAAAGCCATTTTTACATCCAAAAAGAATAATGGAAGAGAGCTGTGCAGAAGAAAAATGTCATATTTAAAGCCATGTTAACATCCAAAAGAATCATGGAAGAGAACTGTGCAAACCTCCGAGTAGCGCCAGAAGTCTTCATCACTTGCATCGATGGTGACTGTTATAGGTTGATTCACCATTGCTGTCAGCAACACGTCCTCGAACCAACCTGCATCAGTCACCATCGATGCAAGTGGTGAAGACTTCCGGTGCTACTCCAAGGTCTGCACAGCTCTCTCTTCCATGATTCTTTTGGATGTAAACATAGCTTTAAAGATGACATTTTTCTGCTGCTCCGAGGTCTGCACGGCTCTCTTCCATTATTCTTTTGGATGTAAACATGGCTTTAAATATGACACTTTTGTGTTGCTTTGGTTTCGGGTGTCTTCACAGGGAGCTGTGGAACAAAGTTGAATCATCAAGTGGTCATCGTAGGTTACTAAAACAATCTTAAACCGTAAGAAACCTGGTCTTGCTCACAAAATTAGTAATTACGCAAACAAGAATTTTATTCACAGTTATTTTCATCCACAATTTGAGCCCTAGATGACAATTTCTAATCATAAGTTTCTAGTGGCTACACAAGTTGCCTGAAACTTGATTCTGGACTTTCTTCCTATGCCTTCAGTGCTGATTACTCTCACCACACCCATATCCACACAGAATTCAGCATCACAGCAAGATCCATAACAATCATAAAAGAACAGGCTTCAATTAGTACAACAAAGACATCTCTAAACAACAACAACAAAATTATTTAGATAAAGCTTGATCCTACACTTATCATGTTTATTTTAGTACTAAAATGCGTGCAACTATTTTCTCAATTTTATAGTGTATGAAAATATAATAACTTTTTTTTGCATAAACCCCTACGATATGCGTTTATTTCCGAAGTACCCTCTCCCTTATGGCTGTATTAACATATTGTCCCATCAAAGGGACCATAAAAACAAAAGGAACCCCTAGCATGACATTTACTATATAGATCTCTTGAAGCTTGATTAGTTTATGCCATTCTTGTGAAAGACGCATTTCGCTTTGGCTAAAGAACAATTATATGACTTTCAGATCTCTCTTAAACAAAAGGAATAATAACCTAACTGCTAATATAGCTGCTGATCTTCAACAGCCTCCATCACCATGGTTGCTCCCGTCACCATGAAAATGGGACACCTGCCTGCTAATATAGTTGTTGTTCTTCAACAACCTCCATCACCATGGTTGCTCCAGTCACCATGAAATGGGATAATTGTATCTATTGCAGTATAACAAGTCAAGGAAGCCAAACATCATATTTATTTCATTTTTTGGGTCATATTGGGGTCATATGTAAATACCCAAGGTATTTTAATAATAATAATATACTTGTTCCTTGATGTTTGAAATTTGAAGTTCTAGCCACCGATGATTTGTGGCATCGCCAAGGGAGCAAAAGGGTTGAATTCAAACTGGAAAATAATCATAAAGAAATAATCTTTTTTGGCATAAAGAAATGCCCATTAATTTCACAACTTCAACATCTCCATTCTCCAGAAATTTAGGGAGCTAGCTATTCAAATCATCTAATTATCAAAGATAAAAAACCTTCATTTACCAAGATCCTTTTACCAAGTAATATAAATTGGTTCAACTATCTAAGGTTGCACAAGGACGTCGAAGAAAATATGGTCTATCAACAAATCCTATAATATGCAGTCTCATATTATCTTCGTCCAAATAAATTCAGCCCATAATTTGACTGGATCAAAGGTTAAAAATGCAGCGTGTCGTTCAAGAAGAACGTAACAATTAAAATGTCAAAATCTTTGAACAGAGGCAGGCCACAATTTGATCGATTCCATCTTTCAAAAGCACTTTGTATTCCGTTGATTCTACTCCAGCTTTATTACTATCTCTCGAGTGAAGATAATGTAGCTACAACATCGAATGGAATTGCCTAAATAATGTAAAAAGTGATCGAAATAAGCTTGATGAACAACTTTGCAAATGGCTGTTTCTATTGCACAAGAATATAATACTCCATCCCATACTTCTAGATATGTTGACGAAAGGAATCGAAATGATCCTAAAAGTAAATCTTATTCAGTTGGATAACAAGATGATGGAATCAACGAACGGGATCAAGAAGGCAAAGGAGATTGGAAAAAAAGAGAGAGGCGGTTACCGAAGGAGGAGGAGCATCGGACGATGGGTTTGAGGCGGCGAAAGGAAGACACGGCCGCCGCGGCGAACGCGCCCCTTCGCTTGCCCTCCTCTGATCTTCTTCGATGATCGGATTTATGGGATCGATCTCGATAAGCTCGTTATCGTCCTCCCAAAAGAAGTGGTGGCGGCGAGCAACAGATTGAACGAAAGATGGGCGCAGCGCAGCGGAGGGTTTCCGACGCTGACATCACACATTGACGTGACGGTTTGGTTCCTCAAGCAATGTGGCTCGGATAATGGGTTCGGTCTGACACGGCTTTGTGCTCGGACCTGACCATCCCGAGTTCTGAATACTCCCACAGCAATTAAATATAATATATATATATTTTTTTTTTATTTGAAGAATAATTTTTTGATAATATTTTTAATTAATATATTAAAAAATTTTAAAAATACTCAATAAATTTATAGTTTTCAATCCATATCAAAATTTCTTCCTAACAAATTTTGATATAAAAAAATATCTTTAAACTAATCAAATTTGTCCCATTAACAGATAAATCGGATTCATCTCTTATAATTGTTCACCAACTGTTATTTCCAAAAAAACATGGTGATAAAAACAGTATGCATGGCTTGCGAACATGAGATCCATATTTCTCCTATCCAAATCTACAGATAAGATAAGAATCTAATACACAACATCCTATTGGCTGCCTGTTGTCTCACATGTCCCACACGTGCACACATACTCGTTCTTCTCTCCGACGCAAACCTCATCCCCTCGGCAGTCCTTAATCCCTAGTCTCCCTTCACAGCAACCAACTCCTCCGACCAGAAGCAAGCTTCCTCCATGGCAACCATGGCAGCCATGGCCATCCTCACTGCCAGATGCCCTGCTCCAAACCTTCTCACCTCCTCAAAGCCAACCCTAACCAAACCAGTCTCTCTCCTGTCCCTCCAAAACCTCCCCAAAGGACTTGCAGCAGCAGCTCCCAAGACGACGATCACCACCACCCCTTCTTCCCTGAGCGCCACCGCCATCGCGGGCGCCATCTTCGCCAGCTTGAGCAGCTCCGACGCGGCGTTTGCGGCTCAACAGATCGCCGACGTGGCCGAAGGCGACAACCGCGGCCTCGCGCTTCTCCTCCCCATCGTCCCGGCCGTCCTCTGGGTCCTCTACAACATCCTCCAGCCTGCACTCAACCAGCTCAACAGGATGAGGACCGAGAAGGCAGTGGTCGTCGGTCTGGGGCTCGGCGGCGGATTGGCGGCCGCTGGGTTCATGTCGACCCAGGGCGCGTCGGCGGATGAGATCATGACGGTGGCCAACGCCGCCTCCTCTGATGATAGCAGGGGGTTGCTTCTGTTGTTCGTCGTAGCTCCGGCCATTCTTTGGGTCCTGTACAACATTCTGCAGCCGGCGTTGAACCAGCTCAACAGGATGAGGTCCGGGTGATCATGGATCGTCCAAGTGTTGAAATATTCAATCTTATAGCTATGCAAATTTTGTGTCATATACTTTGCAAAAAATAAAAATAAAAAAGTTTTGTCGTATATATTTTGTAATAAAACACCATCTATTAGATCAAAACTGAGTTACAAACTGTGAGGCCAAAGGATCAACAGCAGAAACATATGAAACTGAGCCAATTCATGGCTTACAAAGGTAGAAAATATTCAAAATTGTGTTCCTCAAAGACCAGGGTGTTACATACAGGTTTGATTCCCTTAGCTGGGTTGACCACCTTCGATGTTAAATGATTGCAATTGGAGCATCTGTATAGCCTTGAGTCCTTCTAAAAGTGCGATAGATTCTGCCATAAGAGGGCTTGATGCACCGAAGGAAGTGTCACCCAACTATAGGTATTCTTCGGTAGCCGAGGCACCGAAACCCTAGCATCCTCCACAAGGCTGTCCTCAACAGGTGTGGAAGGCGATAAAGCAGTCAACAACCCATACACAAACTTGAAACATTACGTAGCCAAAAGCCATGAAGAACAAAAGAACTTCTCACCTCTCACAGGATGCAAGGCCAGACATGGCAGAGTCCCTGGATCTCTTCCCCTTGGGCAAGTTCTGAAAGAGAACCATCAGCTTGTCCCCCTTTCCCCGCTCTACCCAGTACAGGGAACAGCACCGAGCAAGCCCTCGGCGTCACCAGCGACGGCTCCTGCAACCCCATCCATTCAAACAGATAAAGGCACCCCCAAGCCAAGCCCTCCTCCCCCATCCGCCCGAGCAGCTCGATGCACTCCCCTTCCCCGACCTTTTAGGCCATTCTATCCATCCTTTTCGATTACTGTACAAAACTTCAAGCATTGTAGGATATAAACTCCACTATGATGAGTAAGACATCACGATTCCCATATGTATCGTTGTTTTTTACTTGCCCGACGTGTGTAAAACATGCTTCGCAGTCAAAATACAATCTGCTGATGTTACTTCAACCCAGATGTCACATAAGTATTGATCAATTTGACCGGTATTTGAAACACTGGTTTAGACTGAATACCGCAAGAAATACAACAGTACAATTATCCTATCATCTTCACAGCAAACTTCATTCCTCTAGTTGTAATGCCTGATAAAATTGTACAAGGCACAACAATAATTTATTACTAGGAAAACCGAGGACAAGGGCAGTATAAATTAATTGCAGCCACTGAACCATAAGATCTGGTATATATATTGGATGTCAAATGCTGGTCCAATGCACCACCTGGCCATAACGTGTTAGATCTCTGAGAGTATGTCGCATCACTTTCTATTACTGTAAGGTGAGCCATTTGCCTGTAGAGTGAATTGCTCTGCCGTCATCCTATGCGATACTATCATCGTTATAAATAATACCATCATCGAAAAAGTTGACGAGCAATACTTGTTGAATTGACTCAGAAGACACTATCGCCTACGCCAGACGATGCTATCGCCCAAATTTATTTTCGACCACTAGTTTGGTCCTCCAACGAGCTAATACCAGCTCAATTCGATTCACCTTCAAGCCTAATCTTTTTCTTCGTAAGTTGACATTATTTTGATATAATACCAGCTTAAATTGACCTAAAATTATCTCAATTAAGACTTTAATAAATCAATCATATATCCAACATATTTACGAAACTTTTGATATATTATATGATCTTTCAGCATATCATCTAATTTTTCAATAATTTATATGAATCTTCGATACATTACCATTTCCTTTGGTATATCGCTTATTTCATCGATATGTTGCTTTCTCACAAAATCTAATCTTCCGATGCAATATCTGATCCTTCTGACATGATGTCCGAACCTATAGCATGAAGTTCGATATTCAGCATGTCGACGTTCAATTTTTAATACAATAATTTCTAGATACAACGTTTGACTTTTCTACTCGATAATTGACTCTTCGATGGTCCTGTGATCGAAGTATTTCTTGTGTCATTTTTCTCAAAAACATACTAGTCCAATAAATTCAGATTTCATTATCAAAATCCAAATTTCAACACATACCTATAATAGAATAAAGTGAATTGTTGTAATCAACTGCAACCCAAACCTGAGTTTCCACGGGAGTTTGACCACGGATAAATCAAAGTCCGTCTAAGAGAACATGTTGCATCTCCATTTCCTAGTGAAACTTACAGAAGAAGCCTCCAACCAACTCCAACTATTTGGCATTCATTCTACTCCAATTTCTAGAAAGAGTGGTTCTAAGGAAATCTAATGGAGAGGTGCACCCGGAAAGTTACTGCAGATGGAGTGGTTCCAGGAACTGTGAGCTACAGCCATCTCATATGCGTCCAACTCAACAGTAAGGGAGGACTATTGGTTGGATCTTGAGCAGCTTAGCCTCAGGGCTGCCTCCGATTTCCAAGAGCCTCCTCCATGCACACCACGGAGAAGACCTGCCCAAGAAGTAGGGTTCGGGCTCTTGGATGGCGAGGGGTTAGCCGGAGCGGTAGGCGAAGGCGGGAGAGATGATTCAGCAGATGCATCGCCAACAGCGTTGGATGATCCAAGATTGATAGGGTCAGGTGAGCCAACAATCAGAGCTTGTGGAAACGAAGAACTAGAGGAGGAAGAGGGCAGGGTTGGAGTCGAGAGATGATCACTTGAGGCAGATTGTGAGGCAGATTACTCTAGAGAGCCAAGATTCGAGGAGACGGAAGACAGGCGATCGAAGAAGGAGGAAGAGGAGGCTCGTTCTCCGCCTCCACTGTGAAAAGAAAGTTGAACCATATTATGGTTGCTGTGCTGATTCATTTAGCTTGTGGATGATTCATGTGTAGCAATGTGTTGGATCGATCGAGTTATAGTGACACTTACAGATACAGCAAATTGCCGAAACTGTTATCACATTATATTCCCCTTACAACTGTCTTTTGGATTTGAGCAGACAACGGTTGAAAACCTTTCCCATTTTGGCTGTACAAAGTCAACTTTTCTTTGACCACATCAAATTTGTTCCGTCTTGTGAGTGTGAGCTGTAAGATATGTTGACCAGGACTCAATTCATTTGTAATTATTTTTAATATAAATAAACGATTGCTGCCATTCTCATCTCAACATATTCCCAGTATCATTATTTTAAGTCTTGAATAAACAATTGATGAAATTATTTTGCTGTGGAAAGCCAAATATTTTTTTTTACCTCAGCTGATTATTTTTGTCCCGAGTGTGAGGTGTCACATACGTTGACTAGGACTCAGTCAATATAATTAATTTATTTTTCTCTTCTTACTCCTCTCATCGTTCACCAACTTTAGGTGCAAGTAAACAATTATTAAGATTCTTTTGCCACTTTTTATATATCTATTATTTATTTGTTTTGCCTCAGCTAATTTGTTCTATCTTGGAAGTGTGAGTTGCCAATGATGCTCTCCCCCCATCATCTAATGACCTCAAATGGATGGTTGTGATTGGCAGCATCTCACCTCATCTCTTCACAACACTTGTGATCACACTAATTGACTCATTTCTCTCTTCAAGCAAAGCATTTATTCTCAACTTTACCAATAAAAGAGAAAATGAAGACTTCATCAAAACAGTAGCATTAAATTGACACTTCTTTACTTGTTTTTGTACATTGCCATCCCTGTAAAGTTTCACAAATAACACAATTACCCTTACCGAATTTGATTCGAAAATACATAAAATATGAATTACTGATAATATTTGAGATATTCTTATCAGCAAAGGAGTTTTAGTATATAGCATCCATCCAAAATATTCAAGTAAATGTAGTTAATGTTAGTTTCTTGATTTAAAATATATAAAATGTACATTATTAAAAATATTTTTATCATCCTAAAATAAAAAAAAATCAATTAGAGTTCAAATAAAAATCAAATGATGGAATTTTTTGTGTTTATTTATACTAAACTTCAATTTGTGGAAATTAAATATGATAATAAATGACATTGTAAGGGATATATAGGTAATTTGGGTTTGCTTAGTCCCTTTGGCATCCTTCCGTGGGGCGGCAGTAGTTCTCCTAACCGCCCGTTACATACATCTCCTTCGATCGAAGCCTTCAGCTTCGCCGTGCTGTCGAAAGTGGTAGTTTCGATCGGATCCCAGTAGGAAAAATTGCCTTTCTCGGTCGGTTTCGAGGAGTTTGGACTTGTTGAGAGGTTTCGGATGCTTCTTGGCATGCATCGGAGTCTGGATTCGGTGATTCTGCTGTGGTTTTCGTAGATTGATGAGCGATGGAGCCTCCGCAGGGGTTTTGGGCGACTCTTTGGAGTTGCCTTCGGTTCTTGCCTTTCTTTCTAGGTTTACTGCTGCTGGGCATCATCAAAGGTCGGTTTATTCTCTCCCTCTTTACTTTCCTCTCTTATCGGTCCCTATTTTGTGGGTTCGCAAATTTTTTGGATTTTGGAGCGTGTAGACTCCATAGAGTTCATTCTTTAGTGTTACTGCTTCCATTGATTGATGATATGTGGATACTTTCCCTTTGATCTTGATTTTTGAATGTTGTATCCGGTTATGCTAAATTTGGATGAGTATGCTCCTTTTTCTCCTCACTTTGAATGGGTTTTTTGTTTGATAAGATGTATGAGGGTGCTAATTGTACAACTCGATGCATGATCCTTGAATGATTTGGTTTGGTTCTGACTGCAGGAATCTCCAAGATGCTTTTATTGTGTTCAGAATCGTTCTTTAAGTATTACATAGGCAACTGATCCATCAATTAAGTTGTATTGACAAACAAGCAAACAGACCTGTTTCCTGTTACTCCATATGTGGCTTCTGCATAAAGATCTTCCAAACATCTATATTTACCTCTTTGTCTGATGCAATTGTCTATGTACAAATATTCACCAAAGTACTTAAGTGTTTTGAAAATCTTAGTACCCAAGATTCGTACGGAGCCTGCTTCTAGATCTCTATCTTTCCGTGATAAGAAGTAATTTTAGATAAAACTTTCTTGTTGAAGTAGTGCTATCGTCTCCTAATCATGTGAGGACACTTTCATGCAAAGAGTGGCAATTTGTTTCGTGAATTCTAAGAACATGAAACCTATTTATACACTGATTTAGTGAATTTAGGTGATTTTTTCTCATCATTGACTCTTTTTCAGGTGCTTTACTTTTCCCATTTGTATGTCTTATCATGACATTAGGAAACTCAGCCATCATTGTGAGTCTCTGGCCAGTACATGTAGTTTGGACTTATTACTGCATAGCAAAGTAAGTATCTTTATTCACTTTTAGATCTCTAAGTATATTTTTATTCTTTGTAGCAAATTAATTACCTCCATTGATTTCTTAAAGGCAGAGCCAAACAGCTTGGGCCTATTCTGAAGCTTGTTCTTGCACTTGGTGTATCTGTCATCTTGATGTTGTGGCCGCCAGTTGGTATTTTTGGGAGCATCATTGTCGGAGCAATCTATGGTTTTCTAACTCCTATCATGGCTACCTTTGATGCTGTTGGTGAAGGAAAAGCTAATAATCTCATACATTGCTTTTTGGTAAAGCTGATTTTTCTTGGTTGTGAATTTCTATTTATACACTTTCTACCTGAATTCTATCATCATACTTTTCCAAATTCTTTTCTTGCCAAATATATCCAGGATGGAACTTGGAGTACTATCAAAGGAAGTTGTACAGTGGTTAGAGACGTGAAAGATATTTGCTTGCACTCCTATTTCTCGATCATGGATGATCTTCGTCTTCATGATCCTCCAAACGGAGAGCCTTATGAGATCAGGTAAGCTGTGTATTCATTTCTATAATTCTGTGCTGATCACTCAATCATTGGTTTCAATTTTATCAAAAACCTTTAGTACATTAATTTTTACAATTTTTGTTGACATGATATATAGATAAACTTATATTTCTGCTTCCAACCTGGAGACTATAAAAAAGGTGCAGCATTTGTTCCTTTGGTTTGACTTTCATATACTCATGGTTTATATGCAGTTGTATCGTGACGACTCTTTTAGCAGTTGAAAATGATTGCTCTATCTCCATGCAATCTGTGAAGCCCTTGGATTATGTTTGTCATACTTGATGCTGAACAATTTTTATCGTGAATTTAAACATTGGTTTGGCTGAGCATAGGTGATTCATTGGACCTGATCCATTTTGGGTTTACCAACCTATATCATATGACGATAATGTGGTTACTCCTAAACTTTGAACATATATAGTTTGTTGGATCAGCTGATTAAAATTAATCTGCTTGGTAATCCAGATTAGGATGAGCTTTCCTGATCTTTATTCCACTAAGAAATTTAGAACCATTGGCATTTCACAAAATATCAGGCAGGATTTGATTGTCTAGACCTGGTTGGCTGGGAGGAAGAAGAATAAGAGTGGAGAAGAGGGAAGAGGAGTATAAAAAATCTAACCTGCAAATGCCTGCCCTATATTGCTGTTGGTTAGCTGCTGTCACTTCTTGAATGTTGCTTGTCTTGTGATGCAGGTAAGAGAGAGAGAGAGAGAGAGAGAGAGAGAGAGTGAGAGAGAGAGAGAGAGAAGGAATATTTATTGATCTTATTGTATTTATAGTGTGGTTTATGACTATAAATTTTCATAACATAGTTGAGATTGTATTCTCAATTTTGGTGTCTTGGACCGTATAACTGAATTACCTGGGACTTGTAAGTATTGAAAAGTGGAAAGAGGAAACCAGATAGTGATTCTAATGGTGATAGAGGAATCCCAACATCTATGCTTGCTATGGTCTACAGGAGTAGCAGTGGCAGCTATAAGCCATCAGTGGATTTCCTTCACTAGCTTAAAGTCTAGAGCATTTAACAACAGCCACCTCTATGATGTGATATGCGATGAATATATTTAAAGTCCTATTTGATTATGTAAGATTCTCACTGATGCATATATCATAACAATGGGATGCATTCGAAATCTGAAACCAAAAGGGTAAAATGCTTCTCCAAGTAGCTAGGTTCATGATAGAAGCTTTGCATGTCAGAGATAAACTTCTCAACTATAGATAGAGGCCCTGAAGGTAATGTTCTAGGAAAGTTAAACTCTTCAAAATTTCATCCGTAGTGACTCAATATTAGAACCCTTCTCAGTCACCAATATTTTATATAGATGAAAGTTGATGGCTCTTGCTTATGGATAAGATATTGCTGGAAAATGAAATGTGAATGGTCCACTTTCAATAAAAGCTCACATGATGTATTTGGCAGTGAAGATGATTATAACTGGTTGCCAACAATAGTTGGTCCTTAAACAATTAAGTTCGAGTATCTGGCGAGCAACTTAAGCAGGCAAATCAATTTGCTATAGACGTCATACTTCATGCTCTCTTTGTTTTCCTTTTTGTGTGCATGTGTGTCCATGTGTGTACAACTTTGTGTATGTGTGTGTGTGTGAGAGAGAGAGAGAGGGAGAGATAGAGAGAGAGAGAGTTTAAGCTGATGTAATTATGGAGTAGTCTTTCCAAATTCCCCTAATCATGGCAAAAGCTTTGGGGAAGAGAAGGCTAAGAAGTCATCGTAGGTGGAGCAATGTTGATCTCAACCGTGTAGATGACAAACTAGTCGACAGCCACAATCCTTTGATTGTAGTCCTTTTTACACCACCCCATAATGGAAAAACTATCATCCTTTTTGCTTGTTTGTCAATATTAAACCGGTAAATGGTCTGACAGCGGCATTCTGGCTACTTTTTCTCCATTGCATGAAAACATATACCTAGTGGATCATCTTCTCTTTAACCATGTTTAACATTGCAATCATTTTCTTGACCTTACCGTGAAGTCTAATTAGTTAAATTAGTGAACTCAGTATATTATTGTGATTTGATAATTTACATTAACATTTGCCAGATTGCGTTACATTCCGGGTGCCTGTTTGGCTGGTCTGCTTGGAGTCATGGCTGATGTGCCGATGATCTCATTGATTGCCATTTGCAAGAGCCCATACATGCTTTTTAAAGGATGGAGGCGTTTGTTTCATGATCTTATAGGCCGAGAGGGCCCGTTTTTGGAAACTGCATGCGTCCCATTTGCTGGTCTAGCCATTATTCTCTGGCCATTGGCAGTTGCAGGAGCAGTCACGGCTTCCATAATATCAAGTTTCTCTTTGGGTGCATATGCAGCTGTTATAGCATACCAGGTCTGAGTTGGTTTTTTTGCTATATATTTTCTCTTAGAAAGTACCTACTTGCATCAGTTTATCAAGTACGTAGCATGTATTACCAGTAATCAACAATGTATGACAATGATTTCCATTTTCTTATTATACTACAAAAAGAATGTCTCACATATTAGATAATGTTCCATGATTTAGTTCCTAAATGCCTCAGGAGACATCAGTGAAGATGGGGCTAGCCTACATCATCTCTTCCATGTCTATGTTTGATGAATACAGTAATGATGTACTTGACATGCCAGAAGGATCTTGCTTTCCCAGGTGCTACATAGTATGGTCACTCATTCCTTTCATGAAGCATCATTTTAATCTGAAACTTATTGTTAATATTAATCTTGCTAGGTATCAATACAGGAAGAAGGTACCACAGCGTGCTACCTCTTTTTCCAGACCTGTCTCTTTTCGACGGGAAAACCAGGATGCAAAAAAGGCTCCTTCACGTGCGACGTCATTTAAGAATAGCATACTTGAATTGAATCCTTTGAAGGTAATAAGATTCTAGATGTAATAACTTGTCGATGTGTTCTTACAGATGTTAGCTAATGTTATGGGATATAAGAAAATTGTTTCTGCACTCTAGCCCAGTGTCTGGAAGGTCTGGATGGATCCAGTAAGATTACATATTCAGGACATAGACTTTGATTAACTTTACTAATAGCAAATGGAAATGTACAACTCTTTTGATAGACAGGAAGATAATATGTTACTGTCCCTTAAAATATAGTGTTGGGTATGCATTTATTGGGTAGTTGTTCATTAACATGTTATAGCTTATTTGTACCTTTGAGATGAAACTTGATCACTGTAACAAAGTTTCCTTTATTCTCACCCTTCTCATCATTGTAGACTCTAGGAAACTTAAGGGTGTTTGCTGCATGAGTTTTAGTTGCAATCATGATGCTATATCTTCCTGCCTTTAATAATTAGCTTTTTGGGATTATTGACAGTGCCATAACTTTCCTTCGTTCAGGAAATTGTAACCATCTTTGGATGGTCAGGTTGAAAGTTGATCGTAATTTTTTTCTTCAAATCTTTCGGAGAGCCTACTTGTTATAGTCAATCATGTTCTACAGACAACCTATACCATTTGGTAAAAGTCTTTGACAATGACAAATGACAACAGTGATTTATTTCAATCCATATTTGTGTTTCCATTGTCATGCGTATAGTTTTAAATTTTATTAGGACTATTAATTTTCCATATGTTGCTTTGTGTTCAGAACATGCAACCAAACTTTGAGATTGGTGAGAGCTGAATGACTATGTTCTGTGCAGTTACTTGATCATCTGTTCTCGGAGTGTAAGCGCCATGGTGAGGTTTTGGTCTCTGAAGGAGTAATAACACGAGAAGACATTCAAGAATCTAGGTCCAGTAAAGGTGGTAGCAGGATAATAAGCATCGGTTTGCCGGCATACTCCATACTCCAGGCACTGTTACTTTCAGCAAAGAGCGATACTGATGGTTTAGTTTTAAGTAAGTACATGAAGGGTATTGCATCTCTTTGATGCTCAACAATAAAAAATAAAAAAAAGAGAGAAGTTTGTTAGATTATTTATTTATTTATATGATTGATAAGATAGATGGTATAAATAATTACAGGTGACAACACTGAGATAACCACTGAAAACCGGCCTAAAGATACAATCTTCGATTGGTTCTTTGACCCTCTGATGATCATTAAAGAGCAGATTAAAGCTGAAAATTTTACAGAAGAGGAAGAAATATATTTGTCCAAATTGGTGCTGCTGCATGGTGATTCCAAGAGACTGAAAAACCTTAATGCTCAATCATCATCTTCAGATCAGAGAAAACGAGCTGAAATTGATGCCCTTGCTCGGAGGTAGTTGAATTTATATGGAAAGCCAAAGCATTTTCATCTATGTTGCTTCTTTGTTTGTACTTACTTCTTGTTACGGTATAAGGTTGCAAGGCATCACCAAATCGATCTCAAGGTATCCGACAGCCAGACGACGTTTTGATGATCTTGTGAAATCTCTTTCGGAAGACCTTGAGAAGAAGTTTGGAAGCAATCGATCTGCCAATGGGTTTCAAGAGAGTCAACGTGTACGAAGTGGTATTTTCCGAATTTTTAGCCAAAAGTCATTTGGCTCGGATACAAGCACCAAGGGCCATCATCAAGAAATCCAAGAGGTTAACAATGGCTTTTAGTTCTGTAAAACTTTTCTACATACCTCTTAAATTTAGAAGGATTTTTCTCAAGTGTTTTCTATGTGGATAGATGAGGAGATATTGATTGATGAACTGCTAATGACATCATATGTCATTTGATTGATGTACCATTTGAATGAAGATGTGCCTGTATAGTCAAGAAGTTATTATTACTAGGCAACGAAAAGCCTTCTTTTGCCTATGACTGATGTATCGTTAAATATTGTGATTTGTTTTCCCATATTTTGATTGAAGATTCCATATGAGGATTTGATTCCTGTCTTTCGTAAGTTTGAAATATATTATAAACCATAATATGCATATGGAAATAGATATACATGAAATTAAATGTGGTTTAAATAGTAATGTGTTTTAAAAGAAGTTGTAGCCTAATATTCTATCTCGATTAGTTTGTAAAATTAAGATTGATGAGTGTATTATTATTAACTTCAGTTTAAAATGTTTTAATCAATAATTTAAGTAAAATAAAATTAATAAGTCAATTATTATATCATTTGATCACACATCCCATTTTATATAAAAATAAATTATTATTTTATTATTGAAGATATTTTTTTAATCTCTACATTTAAATCTGCCTTTATAATAATAAATATTTTTAAAATTAAAAAATATTTTCTTAATAGAGTCACATGTGACAAAAAAAAAAAAAGTCTCTTCTATCTAAGTCGCATATTTGCTTCCTCTAAAAGTAAATATAAAACATATACAATCTTTAATATTTGTAAGATATATAAATATTAATAATTTAAAAATCATTAAGATGCAACACATCTCAATAATATATATAACAATCAAATAACAAAGATCGAGTACTCTCTCAATAATAGATGAAAATGTATATTCTATATGATGGATTTCTTCGATAGATGAAAATGTATATTCTATATGATGGATTTCTTCGATAGTGGATGAAGTAGTATTCCTCACTCACCCAAGTGGAGATAGGTTCTTCCCAATAACAGATGAAGGAATCGTTTAACCATCACGTTTAATAGTTCGTTAATTCTCAAAGGAAATTGCCCTACCTATTATCGATAGGAATACATAATCAACCATAATCATTCATTTATTCATGCAAGCATTCAAAATGTAATAGGATAGAATATTATGAGGAACCATAATTAATGTATGATATGCTAAATTATGTTCAATATGGACCACTAACATAATCACATTACTATATAGTAACAATCATATTAAAATCAAAAATTAAAAAAAAAATTAATAATCATTTCTAAATGATAAATTCAAATAAAACTTTCAAGATCATCAAATCATACGAGGCAGCAATCTCTCAATAGTCCTCAATTAACCAAAACCTTAATTAGAATAGCCTAATAGTCCTCAATAAACCAAAACCTTAATTAGAATAGCCTAATTGACTTGAACCAAGTTTAATTCAATTAGGACCTAGTGGAACTATTCTCAAATCCTTATAGAATCGTTTTGGAATAATCTTAACTAGTCTAATTTAGATTTGATTAATTTTAATTAGGTTATATAGATTTGAACTAGTTAAATTGGCTTAGATTCACCGTAAACCGACTTGAACCGATCAAACCTATCTGATTCAATCAATTAACGAGGTCAAACTAATAAAAAGATAGAAAATTGGATTATGTCGTATACTGATAGCTTAAACTGAATTGACCCACCTAACTCTTGGATGTGCCACGTGCACCGCATATGCCTGTCCTAGGTAATAAGTTGGGTTGAGGTACAATGGACTAGATAGAGAGACTATGATATATTTAACGTCAGTCGTATAGTTAGGCGAGCATAACTTCACAAGTTGGGTTAGCCCATATGGCTAGGCACAACCCAACCCATATAGCCATATATAACCCAACTCATGTAAGCAAATACGATCCAGTCCACGTGGTCCAATACAACCCAGCTCATGTAGCAAGACATAACCCAACTCATGTGACAATGTATGACACAACACATATTGTCATATATGACATATCCCATGTGGCTAGGTATAACCGAGCCCATATGATCAAGTATGACCCAACCCATATGGCCAGATATAGTCCATCTAATGTGCCTTGTATGACCTAACTCATCTAGTCAGTCACGACCCAACTCAAGTGGTTAGACATTAACTAACTTATAAGCCAAACGTGGCCTAATTAAGTACAACTTATGAGTGAGGTTTAGCCCAACCTGCAAAGATAGACCCGCCTAGTTATACGACTAGCGCTAGATACATCCTCACTCTTCTATCTAACCTATTGTACCTCAACCCAATCTATTACCTGAGATATACATGTGCAGCATACATGATTCATCCAAGACTTTGGTATGTCAATTCGGTCTATGCTAATATTATGTGACATAATCCAATTTTCTCTATTTTAATTGGTTTAAGCTCATCAATTGATTAAATCAAATAAAATTGATTGGTTCAAACCGATTTAGAGTGATTCTAGATCAATTTGACTAGCTTAAACCTCCATAACATAATTAAAATTAATTAAATATAAATTATATTAATCTATGGTGATTCCAGATAGATTCCATAATGATTTGAGATTGGTTCGTTCTAATTGAATTGAGATTTGTTCAAGTTTTTAAGCTATTTCAATTATGGTTCTAGTTGATTGAGGACTATTGAGAGACGAGAGCATCGTATCTTTATGATTTGATGGACTTAAAAATATTATCTAAATATGATATTTAAAAATAATTATTAATTTTTTTTTATTTTTTTTTAAGTATGATATTGATGTGATTGTTATCGGTGGCTATGTAATGATTATGCTAGTAGTCCACGTTAGAAATATAATTTATGGAAGGAGCTATAAGTCTATCACAATGTGAAGTCATCAATGGATATAGTCTAACAGATCATACATCAAGCATAGTTCCTCATAATATTTTATTATACTACTTCTTTGATGCATGTATACATGAATAGATGAATATAATGAATGATTATAATTGACTTTGTATCCCTATCAATGATAGGTAGGGCAATTCCCTTCAAGGATTAGCGGACCGTCAGATGTGATGATTAGACAATTCCTCTATTTATTATTGGGATGAACGTGTCTCCACTTAAACGAGTGAAAAATATCATTCTATAAAATATACCTCTTCATTCACCGTTGATAAAGTACACCAATATACATCTTTGTTATTTAATTATTATGTAGGTCATTGAAATGTATTGAATGAGACTGGTTGTATAAAAATTATCATATGAGGAATTTGCATGTGGCTGACATCTAAAATAATAGGCATTTGCGTAATTGCTTGAACTTGAACTTCCATGCAATGTAATCAATAGAAAAGCTTTGTGAGACCTGAAATAACATAAGATGCTTCTCAAGTTGATAAAGTAATTTTGGGACATCTTGGGATGTTGCTACCTGTTGTACATTATGGAGAATCATAGTTTATCTTAAAGCTGTATGTGATAAGAGATTAAGGGTTAGAACAATCCAGTCAAAGAAGTCAAGTCCAAATAAGTTGGACTACAAGAACAGAACCCATTTCATAGGGCTACTTGCATTCTTTACCAAACAAAGAATAATGCTCTTTCAGAGGACTAGAATTGTAACTGGCTTAGGATAACTTATACCAAATTATTCCAACACTGAACCAAGCATACTCTAGGAGATCTTAAAATTTCCGAAAAAGGATAACAAAATCATTAGAAACCTTACTAAAAGAATTCATTTTCGAAGAAAACTACATTTTTTAAAAAACTAAGAAAGAAACGCGCTAGGATGCTCAAACATCCTGTCAATGCTTGATTAAACTTACAAAAAGCTACTGCATCATTCACATGCTCACTTCATAACAGTTATTTACAGAAAAAAATGGTTTCCAATATTAAAGACCTCTCAAGAAAAATCATACATCGAAAAATATTTTTTAGAAATTGATCAGGAATTGGTGTAAGTCAAAAGTCCAGAAATTTCCACATAATACTTCGATGTTGAGTTCAAGAATGCAAACCTAACAATGAAAAGCATAAGAAATTCTGAAAATAAACTGCCATTAAGTTCTTAGAAAGAGAAAATTCAGGAACATCAGGCAAAATGCATATGTGAATTCTGATTAAACAATGAGGAAAAAGATTATATTTCGATAATGCATTTGGAAAAATTTATATATACACTTTTGCTTTTCCTCTCTATAATGCAAATGTGAATTCTGGTTAAACAATGCGGGAAAAATTATATTTCAATTGATAGATTTGGACATGATTAAAACATTGCCGTAAACAACAGATGAGTTTCGAAAGTCTCACAGGATATTATGGAGATATAATTCCAAATGCAATGGATATCAACTCATTAGACAGGAGGAAACCATCTGGATCACTAAGCCGAATGGATGCAACTCCATTACCCATTTCATCATTATCCTCACTCATCTTCAACTCAAACTCAGGGTAAGACAACATATTTCTATCATCATCCATGACAACCACATGCCCACTCTCTACATACTGTCTCAAGGCTTGGCACAAAGAGCGTGCCAGGCTCTTCCCAAAGCATTTTGCAAAGCCCCTCAGGTCAAGACCTTTTGCCGTTCTCAAGGACAGCATCACAACATCCATTGCCATGTCCTTTGTGTCGACACTGATGTCCTCATGAAGCACTACCAATCCATCTTCCAACTTCTGCACCCATTCCTCGTACTCCTTCAATCTTCTTGGCCTTGAAAACCTCACGCCATTGATGTAGCTTGCAGATCCAAGGCCAAATCCATAGAAAGATCTGTTCAGCCAGTAGGTGAGATTGTGCTTGCACTCATACCGATCCTTGCAGTAGCTACTGATCTCATAGTGGCTATAACCTGCCCCAGAAAGCATCCGTGAAGCAGTCCTGTAAAAATCTGCCGACTGCATCTCTGTTGGTAGAGGAAATTCTCCTGGAGTATACCTGTAAACATGATAATTCATGGTGACAAGCATATATGTGCATCTTTAAGCACAAGATTGATGTTTCAGTAGAATACAGCAGCATAAGGGTATTCATGAATGTACTGATAGGTTAAAGGAGGATTTGCTTACAAATGACCAAACTTGGTGCCTTGCTCAACCTGCAGGTCGTAAACGGAGACATGCGTAGGACGAGCACTGATGGCACAGCGCAAGCTCTCTTCCCACATTTCTTGGGACTGATGGGGCAAGGACGAGATGAGGTCCATGCTCCAATTCTGCAGCTCACTGCAGTCGGTGACAATCTCAATGGCTTCATAGACATCCTTCAAGCCGTGGGCTCTCCCGCAAGCCCTCAGCAGCTCCTCCTGGAACGCCTGAACACCGAGCGACACCCGGTTCACTCCCAGCTCAAGCAGCCGTTCCATCTTTTCCTTATCAAACGTTCCAGGGTCCATTTCAATCGACACCTCCGGGCTATCGCACATGCCAAATCTCGACTTCAGCGCGTCGAGGATGGACGAGACGAAGCCCGGAGGGACTAGCGACGGCGTGCCACCGCCGAAGAACACGGTCTCGAGGGGCGAGCAGTCGTCGGACCAGGCTCTGGTCGCCGCAATCTCGCGGAGGAGGAGCTGCACGTAGTTCGAGATTCTGGGGTCGGTGTCCGGGCGGTGCGGCGTGGAGGAACCGAGAGCGATGATCGGGAAGTCGCAGTAGTGGCACCGCTTGCGGCAGAAAGGGAGGTGGACGTAGGCGGAGGTGGGCGGGGGCGGGGGTGGGGACTGGGCCGAGGAGGAATATTTACAAACAGGTGGTGGACGCGGAAGGTACGCCCTGAGGGCGAAGGCTTGAGCCGGTGGAAAGGGAGATGAGATGAAGAAGGGGAGGAAAGTGGATCTCAGCATCTACGTACTAGGGTTTTGTGAAGCTTCAAGCATCAACAATGGCTATATATTGGATGCAGACACAAAAGGAACCGATTTGGTATAGAGAAGGCCAAGGAAGAGACGCCTTAACTTTGAGAGTCTTTTTCTCGGCTTGCAAAAGGATAAGAAGTTCGCACAAAATCGTATTATATTACTCATTTTTACTGGGATTTTTTAAGGTGTCATAAAAAAAAAACTTTTATAATTTAAAAAATACTTAAAAATAATAAATTTAGATTAATTACAAATTATTCTTATAGTTATCCTTCTTTAGTATCCTAGTTTCTAAACTTTAAAAATTTATTTTGAAGTCTCTATAGCTACGAAAGTAAAATATTTAATTCAATTTAGTCCAATACCATCAGATTGAAAGATACATGATAGCAGCATGTGTAGAAATTAAAAAAAATTAATATGTAAAAATATATTTTCAATATCCCAATTACGTTTTCGGTGGTAACTGATGGCGACATCATTGGGGGGTGCGAGTGGTTATGGTTAGCGAAAATGACGCAATGATCGATGAAAACGCTAGGGACTTTTGCAGCGATAAGAGGAGGATGAGGAGAGAGAATAATGACAAGAAGTGAGGCAAAGGAGAGGAGAAAAAGGACGATACAGATGCCGATACTTTCCATCTACATCAGTGTCGATATAAATGTAGATGTCAAGCAACCCTTCTTCTCGGCATATGTAAAGCGATGTCGACGTAGATGTAGAGCAGCATCGTTCTGCATCTGCATCGACATTGATACAAATGCAGAGAAGAAGAAGGATGAGTGATAGTTGACAACCTATATCGTTTTGCATCGGTCATCCTTCTCCCCCCCTCACGCAAGCTAAGCAGCCAAAATGATAAGAAGGATGAGCATCACCCTTCCCTCGTATCGTTATCTGCATCGACACAGATGTAAAGTGTCATTACTCTGCATTTTATGTTGGCGTTGGTATAATTGTCAAGCGACGTCGATGTAAATACAGAACATCGGCATCTGCATCGTCTTCATCCTTCTTTCCCTTTATCTCATCTCATTGTCGATCTCCCTCCTCATCCTCATCCTACTCCTCCTTTCACAAGAAGATGCAAAAGTCCCTAGTGTTCTCGCCAACCATAACCACTCGTAGTCTTTAGCGACGCCATCGTCCGCTACCACCAAAAACATAATTGAGATATTGAAATTATTTTTTTATCTATAATTTTTGTGCTATTTTTACACCTGCTATATTTTCTGTCGGTAAAATCGATAGCTGAAATTCAATATTTTACTTTCATAACTATAATGACTATAATATAAATTTTTTAAATTTAAAGACGAAAAGGTTAAAGAAAGAGGTCTACCTATAGGAGATAATATGTAATTAGCCCGATAAATTTTTTAAAAAATATTTTCTTTTTTATTTTTCTCGAGAGAGATACCCGTTTTCATATTTTGTACAAAACACCTTTTATTTATCATAATTCTTGAAATATCTCCAATATTCGATTATACGTTTTGGATCAGTATATACAGTGAACCTGTTCACCGATTTATATCAATTATCATTGTGCTATTAACCACTTAAATCCTTTTAATGATCTATATTTGTTTATTTCGTGTTTTACTTTATTGGCACGTACAAGCAGATCTTTATACATCAGAAACCCTCTAGAAGATGAACTATCTGTGTAACTCAACATGGCTTAGTTGATGTGCAAACTCTATCGATAACCCATATCGGTTTTCTTTTTATTTATCATGAAAGATTGATCATTACATAAATCAACATATTTATATTTTATTACACGTAACTCTTCCTGCGTCAAGCAAGATTGGACGGAATAATAGCAAATCGAGTCCGAGTACTAATAGTACATCAAAATCACATTTTTCATCATTATTATATTCGCTCAAGATGGTGGCACATTAATCTCGGATCTATGCACGTGTTAGCATAGCATCCACTGTATCGATATCGTAGCAATCCCTTTCTTTAGTCATACATCATATATGGGATGAAAGACAGATGGAGCGTTTCATCTCGCGACAAATTTTAGTTGGCTGCCAACCAAGCCAACTGGGGTCCACTGGGGTCAACCAAGCCGGGGCCCACCGTGCTTCCCATCGCAACTTAATTCACGCCTTCTTGATCTTGATGCTTCGAGTGGCTTCTTATTAAAATCGAATAAAGATGCACGTTGTGGTCTTTTTCTAATCAAAATATCCGTAGATTAGGCGCGTTAATTATTCACTTGTGTCCTCGAAGATACCGTGTGATGCTTTATGTCGCGACTGCCAAAACCGTATTGGCATATGTAGACACTGTCACTACTGATTCGGGTTGTGACTCGAGTCGTAATTATCCGAATCCAATTTGGTTTACGTCGACGTATTTGGGTGATTGATTGGGAGAAATTTGCACAGACCTGATCAAGATCTATGTAGAAGTATTGGACGGTCCCCGTTTACGGATCTGATCACGGGTTCGTTGATTGTAGATACCATCAACGGCAGTGATGGCGCTCGTTCCATCACGCGACCCACGCCCATTTAGATATTTAGATTCGTTGAACCACGTGGGCCTCAGCGCGTCCAAGTCACCATTAGTCGTGTTCTACCTCGGCCACTCGCCCTACCCAGCGATTGACCTTTTGTCGGTCGCACGTGTGTGGGTCACGCTGGGCCCGGCGTCTGTCGCCGCGTCTCGCCCTCTGATGCCCAATCAACGGTTCAAAGATGCGGAAAGGAACCAATGGCGGACGCAGAACTTGTGGTACTGTAAACCTTTACGCGCTTTGATTGTATCTATCGGAGTTTCTGGAGTAAATGCAAACGTGGCATCGGCTGCCACCTCACCGCGTATGAGAGGCACGCACGGAATATTCGTAGAAGTAGGATTTCAGGGATATTAGTATATTACCAATTAATTTCATATTATTCTGCGATAAATCCGGCACTCGGTAAGAAGGTGGGTCGGTGGAGGCGCAAGGCGCACTTCGGTCGAGTACAAAAGAGGGAGTCGCTCCATTTCGTCGTCCGCAATCTGCAAGAACGCGTCTTGAGAGGTTCATTCTTCTTCTCTGCGGTATCTCTTCGGGTAATTATTGTTCCTCCCATGGACCTGGTCTTCTCTCGATTCGATTCTGGACTTATGTGCGTAGCTTTGCTCGGTTCTTGGAAGAAATCGGGTTCTTGATTGGATCTTTCTTTCTTCTAAAGGGGAAATTCGAGTTCTTCAATCAGCGAAATGGAGAATTGTTTCATTTCTTGTCTTATTTTTTTGCTTCACCGTGTGTGTTTCACCCATGATTGAGTTGGTCTCTGTTCTTGGCTCGAAAGAGTCTGTCGCGTATCTTGGAGATGTGAACTTGATAATCAGATGCGCATTATTTTTTGGTTGCATAAACTGTAGTTGTATTGTTCATTCTTTTATCCTTTGTTCGTCAGTTTTTCTGTGTTCTGTTAGTTGTTGGTGAAAGCTTGCCTGGTTGTTGGAGAAAGACGGGTTCTTGATTGGATCTTTCTTTTTCTAGAGGGGAAATTCGAGTTCTTGAATCAAAGAATTAGGGAATTATTTTATTTTTGTCTTCTCTTTTTTTTTTTCCTTCGCGCTGTGTATTTAACCATGATCGGGTTGGTAGTTGATCAAGAACTATGTTCTTGGCTTGAAAGATTCCATCGCGTATCTTGGAGGTTTTTACTTGATGCAAACATTTAACATGGTACAAGGGGATTCAGATGCACATTGTTTTTGGTTGCAAAGAACTTTAATTGCAAAAACAAGTAAATGCTATGCAGTTTATCATATGGAATAGTATCATAACAGCATTTGATTCTTTGTCTGCGAGATCTACAAGCATAATACCTAGTAGTTATTTGCTTTATCATTAATTTTTAATATTTCTGTCCCTCGATTTGGAGAAGTTCCTTCTAAGTTTCAAGAATTTTGAAGAAATTGATGAATGTGATGTTTCTATGACTTCTGTTGTAATGTCATGTCTTGGTACATCAAGAACCACCAAGATACGATTTCTTGAGTCTCGTTTTCTGGTTTTTTTCAGGATATTCTTTTCACTCTCTTTCTTTCAATAAGATATTTGTGTAATGTTTTAAGATAGAATCTCATCTGTCCAGAGTGCACAAGTATTTGTTTCTGTGTATAATTATGCAGCTTTTATACAAGAAAGAATAACATCAGAATACTGCAATCAGCCATGTCGACAGGATCCACTGTGTTGGATACATCCTTAAGTAATGTCTCTTTGGGAAGTTCTTTTCCGGAAGACAGATATACAGAAATCAAGCATGAGGTGAAGTGCCTATCAATAATTGTGCTTGGTGCTTCTGGTGATCTTGCCAAGAAGAAAACATTTCCTGCACTCTTTCACCTTTTTCAGCAGGTTTGTGGCAGTTAATCTGTCTTGGTAGCTTGTCATGTAGCTTAATTTGTTACAGCATGTTATTTGGTCCACTAAGTTTCTTTTCCTAACTAGAAGATGAAATGGACATCTTTCTAACTACTTGTTGGACCTAATTATTTTTTAAACGTGCCGTCTTTTATCATTGCTATGGAGATTTTTGACCTACTTATTCTTTGCTTTTTTTGTTGGTCATGTAAAGTGATAAGGCTCACACACCAGACATATATTCATGTCATGTGTTTGTTAGTCCATTGATCATTTGGTTTTATGAAGTAATATATACTTAACATTTATCTTGTTATGGTTTATTATTACTTGTAAACATGACAAGTTCTTTTCGTTTAGCTTTTTTTATTTATATAGTTATGAGTCAATATAGTTTTCAAGTATCTTAATTTTTGGCTTGGAAACAAATACTCAAGACTCTTTTATGGATAAAAGAAGATGAAGTGGCTGCTGGACCTTATCATGTTGTTATTTGATTTATAATTCCATGAATAGTTATGAGGTTTCTTTTAATTACTGATTGGTTTTGTGGTGATTTGTGTATATTTCAGCTGATGAAGAGTCCTTTTATATATTTTTTAGTTAATTTCAGGACAATTTAAATTATTTTTCTTATGCTGGCTTCTGGCATGTTATGATACATTCAAAGTACATGTTAAAAAATGCTAAACTATATCTAGTTATATTATGAATCATATTTTTCGAACTTTGATGTTGTCTTGTAAATATCTCTTCATGAAATATGTAGGCACACTAATTTCAAGTTTTTTTCAGTTAAAGCTACTGTATGGTTCGTTTCTTTGTGATATATGGTACATATAATGGATGCAATTACTACACTAATGTTGGCTGGATATAAATAGGGGTTCTTACAAGAGAATGATGTGCACATATTTGGTTATGCCCGAACAAAGCTTTCAGATGATGATTTAAGAGAACGCATCCGTGGGTAAGATTTTGTTGTTGGCATGTAAAATCTTATCAGTAATGAGCTAAAATTTAGGTCTTAATTTTTAAACTCAGATTTTCGAAATGAAACACCATTTTTGTCATTCTACTTTGCCTTTTGGATTATTTAAGATTTTTTGTTATTCATTGAAGACCTTCAAATTATAGCGTTTGGGAATTTGTAGCACTTCAAACTAAATTGTAATGACGAAATTAATATGTTGTAACTAGTTACAAAATTGCTGAAAGGAAACAATCAACATTTTATAAAGCATGATTTTCAATCAGTGAGAAAGGTTTCATTTCTACTAGCAGGATGGAGGATCAATGATGTTATAGATATATAGTTTGATAAACTGAAAGTGTTGTATCTCCTGGCACAGATTATTAATATCATCTAGGTCACTTCTGTTCCTGGATAAATCATAGTTGTTAACTTCCTAGTCTCTGTTGTTTTGAGTGATCTTGAGAAATTCATGGCATGCACGTGTGGTAAGATCTGATGGAACTATATTGGTGGTTACCCTCTATGTCTGAATTCTGATGAAGTCTACAACTTTATGAGCATAGATAGCATGAGGTTAGGACTTAGAAGCATGTCCTATTAACTCTATTGCTCTATTTGTTGAATAATCTTTGATACTTGAAAAAGTATATGAATGAAAAAGGAAATTTTGAGCAGCATGTTGTTTCATAAATTTAGATGAAGTTGAAGTGATTCGACAACATCTTTGAGTTCTCCAAGAACTTCTGATATAAACGACTTTCGGTTTTAGCACTGGTGCCATATAACAAAAAAAAAAAAAAAAACTGCTAATACAAATTATTTGAAGTGGTTGTTGGTGACAACAACAACAACATATTTTGGGAGCAAGTGAATCATAAATTCTCACTATTAAGGATGCAAAATCAAGTCTATGGAGGATGTGGATTGTTAGTATTTCATGTGGTAAATGAGGTGCTTTGACGATGGACTCCAAGCAGGGAGAAGAAGAAATCGTTGCATATTTTAATCAATTGCATCAGTATCTTGAATGAGACTTGTACGAAAAAAAGTAATTCTTCGTAGAAACAGACTTTTGCTTCCTTCTCACAAGGATGTTTCTGTTTTATGTTCAAAAAGATGAAAACTATCACCATACTGAGAAATTGACTAACTTGCCAGAAAGTTCCATCCTGCTACTCTTAACTGATACCAAGGAAAGAGACTGATGCTGCTACCGATATACCAATATCAATATTGCTACTGAGCTGGTGAAAGATCAAAGAGATGTGGTGAACCATACCAAGAGAAATAGCACAGAGATGGAACCAAGCTGGAAAGGCCATTTCTTTTCTTTTCTCCTTAGTTCCATCTTCTGTGGCACATGAGAGTGCTAGCACCAAGAAAAGGGCTTCAACCTGCTTATTGAGACAGGAATTGGACTTGGTAGCATTGATGAGGCCTATCATTTGTTCTGGGAGGTTGAGCAGGGTGACCTGGAAACCATCTTGTTGTCTAGTAGGACATATCACCAAGGTCCCTATCTGTGAACAAAACTAAAGCTTTCAGGATTCTCGTCCCCTCCCTACACTTGACCATTTCCTTGCTCTGGCACCAACTAACCTGGTTTGTTGTCAACATCCTCATTCCCATAACTTCTCAAATTTCTTCTATTCAAAGCAAGGGTCCTCCCATACTACAATATTGAAATTTCTTTTTCATTCAAGCCTTGGCTCCAGAGCCTGCTTATAAAGACAACCAGTGGACATGCAGCTCCAAAAATAAATTGAGACTTCAGTTGCAGATGATAGTGAGGGTTTTACCTAAAACTCCTTAATTTACATCCAAGCTATACTTTTCCAAGCTCAATTTTTTGGTTTTGTTTCCTACCCTTATTAGCAGGTTTGCTTCATATTTTAGCAAGTAACATATTATATGTTCAACATGAAAGCCTGTCTAACACAAGAAAATATAAGAGCACGGACTAATTCACCATTAAGTCACCATTAGGCTAGCTACTACTACTATAATGCAAGAAAAGTAAATTAAATTAATAGTGGCATATCGACCATTTTTATCTGCACTTTACTATTTTTTTCTTTCCTCCCATCTTGATTTTATATTGTATGCCTGCTTATTCTCCTGCCAGGTAGAATTTGAAGAAGAAAAAAAGGAAAGATTCAGCTTCAATTTTTTATATTCTATGAACATAGACTGACTTTATGTCTAGACTTTGACTTGGCTAATATATGTAGGAAATGGTACTGCAATAGCTAGCTTCATCAAGTCACCATAAATGGCATAACCTTCGTCAGGCCTTCAAAATAGTATGACTATTAATTATCTTTCCTTTTCCTGTGATTACTAAATTCCATAAAGAATGAATTTGATTGTCACATCATGACTATAATATTCCTTCTGAAAATATCTTAGGATTATTACTTAAGAATAGAATAAATTCTAACCATCTGTCAGAGGAAAGACATAGTTGGACTATCCCCATGATGCAGAATCTCAATGGGAGATCTGAAGACCTTGTTTAATCCCTTGAATTATAAAAGAGAGCTTAACAATTATTTTACATCTTTTGTTCTTTGTTGTCATTGTGCAAGTTGATTTTCCAACAGAAATTGATTATTTTTACTGTTATACAGATACCTCAGCCACAAATCGTCAAGTGGACAAACAGAGGTTCTATCAAGGTTCTTGCAATTGGTAAATTGATTCTCTGCCTCAGCCTCTGTCATTCTTTATCAAGTATGGATAATATAAGGTTTCATTGTCACTTTGCAGATTAAATATGTTAGTGGCTCATATGACAGTGAAGATGGGTTTCAACTATTGAATAAGGAAATTTCTGAGCATGAGATATCAAAAAATAGTCAGCCGGGAACTTCTCGCAGGCTATTTTACCTAGCACTTCCACCTTCTGTTTACCCTTCTGTCTGCAGAATGATAAGAAGATACTGCATGAACCAATGTATGGTTCCCTTAAGTACAATGTCCCATGATAAGTTGCTTACCTTACTGTTGCTAACTTTGATATAGAATTAAATTTGCTGGTACCATTTGTATTTCATATCAAGATTTTTTTGAATTACAAAATTAATTGAGGATTTTTTTCGCTTAAAAATGTATAATTCTTTTAGACTTTCTTTTAAATTTGTACTCTCCTGATTTTATTAATTTTCTTAATGATAAAGTCAGCAGTTTCCACTCTCTAAATGAAACCAGTTTGTAGCTTTCTCCTCACTGTGCTTGATTCACTATCTTAAAAAAATAAGTTGGAAGTTTTTCTACCTTCACTAAAAAGATTATTGCTGCATTATGGGTTTGGAGAGGATAAATACTGAACATGATTCTATAATGGTTAAGTCTCAAGGAATTTTTAAAAGTTCTGCTCATATGATACCTGCAGGAATTTCATGCTATGCTGATGGATCTAGCAACAAACTGCTTTGTGTGCTTTTGATTCATGTTAGCCAGTTAAAACCTTACATATCTTGCAGAATATTATGGGCACATCAATTGCTGATGACTGTTAACCTTGGTGCCAAATCTATATAAATAAATATGACAACATCATTCTGCATAGTTATCATAAATTGTTATCAGATGAATTAAATATAATCAGCTCAGTTCTTGAGGTTTTTCTGTTGAAGCCTATATTTTCCTGAATGAAGTTTAGTACTTCTGGCAGATCCGATTTGAAGTTTCTTTATAAATTAATCTTACATTAACCTCACATTTCTTCCTTAATCCTTACAAAAGAACAGCTTGTATTTCCAAGGTCGCAAGCCTAGTTATACAACTATTCTCATCCTTTCACTGTATGATTATATTGTGATCATAATGTCTCACCGATTCTTTTTCCATTCTAAACCAAATCTTTCCCTTTTTCTAAAACTGATCTTTCTCAGCTGATCTTGGTGGTTGGACACGTATTGTTGTTGAGAAACCTTTTGGAAAGGACTTAAAATCTGCAGAAGATTTAAGTGCTCAGCTTGGAGAGCTATTTGATGAACAACAGCTTTACCGAATTGATCACTATTTGGGAAAGGAATTGGTTCAGAACTTGGTAACTAAGCGTAACTAGAACTGGTATATACTTCTCTTAACTTTTTATTAATTATTTATCTGTCTCTGCTTGTATTTTCAGCTGGTGGTACGTTTTGCAAACCGCTTCTTTTTGCCTCTTTGGAATCGTGATAACATCGATAATATACAGGTAAGTTTTCCTCTGTGGGGTACTGTATTGTAAGGAACTTGGTTAAATTCTTGAGAACATACAACGTTCTCTTTCTAATGTTGCCTTTTGGTGCAATCATATGATCTTGAAGTCTTCTTTTTCAAAGTGCTCCTAAATGTACCTAAATTTCAGTAGAAGTTGTTTCTCTTAGGTTCATCATGGACATGCTTTTATTCAAAAAAGTGTTCAGTTCACTCTGCATCTAATTAGATATGCAAGTTATATACCGATTTGCAAGTTATCCTCTTTGCCTGGGATTCCTATTTGTAGAATAATATTGTACTTCAAACTTCTTTCTCAGTAATATGTTAGTGTCTAGACAGGTGTTATGTCCCGCTTGATTATCTTAAATGAGTTCTATTTTAACCAATAATCATTAACGGTTACTCAATCACAGTTATGAACTCCTATCTGCTAACCTTTACTTTCATATACTGTTGGAACACTGTCCAGTTTTCTTGACAATTTTCTTTTCTCCAATTTACTGCATACGTCTGGTCTTCATGACAGCTTGATATCACCATCCACTCATTTCTTTTCTGAATTTTAAACATAACTAGGGTTTTAAAGTTTTTTTAAGGCCTTCCATTCATAGAACTAATATGTGCTTTGGACAGTTTGGTGTAACACTTGTAGGATGTCCAACAATACTTTTAAATCATCCACTGTGTATTTCTATTATCAGCATATGCTTCCAATTAAGGAATTATTTTATCATATTCTTGGTGTCTAAATTCCACTGTACTTTCTTCTTTTAATGTCGACTTCCTCTGCAATTTTGCCGAAGTTCTTGAGGGATATAATGGATGTGGGTGTTAAGTCTGCTTGATGAATACTCAGCTTGTCACAAGAGACATGACCTTGTTGAAGGCCTCTAAAGAACACCAAAATTTTATATTATTAAATGTTGCTATAAGCATGCACTAGAGCATCATAGATATTTTTTGCTCGTAAATTATTCAAAATTGCTCTTAAATGTACACATTCTTTATCTTTTCTGGAAGCCATAGACACCCATGTCAGCCTCAACATCCTCATTTCAACAACGCTAACTTTATGGATATTTTATTTGCTAAATCTTAAGTGCCCAACATTTTATATTTTGTATCTTGGCTAAGTGCATATTTTTGAGAAAAGACAATCCATTCATTATATTCCATGAGTATGAAGGTTCAACCCTTTTTCTTGCTTTTAGAGTCATGGAGCATTTAATATCACATAGAAACAACCTTTGTTTTTTTAGGATGTTTTCTTTATAAGCATGTGTAATTGGTTATGATCTTATCATTAAGAATATTCTAAATTCTAGTATAACTTGGACATTGCAGATTGTGTTCAGGGAGGACTTTGGAACTGAAGGACGAGGTGGATATTTTGATGAATATGGGTATGCTCATTATGTGCATTTTGAAAACTAGGAAGTAGCATTTTCTTCAAACCAAAGATTTATCCTTCAAACTGAGGAACAAATCTTTTATGTTGATACTAGATCGGTCTTTAGAACTTTAGCAAGGTTGAATTGATCAAAAAATATGTAGAACCTCATAATTTAGAGAACTTTTCCAGAGAAAATTCTGCATGTTTTTAGTGAGATTATGACTATAAATATTTTAGCACAAACTCTTATTAAGGTGGATTGCAAATTTTCGCCTGAAATGCTTTGGCATGTACTTTATGCATTGAGATTCAGACGACAAATTTATTGTTTATGTATTTCTCGTCCATACTAACTGCTCATACTGGAGTTTGTTGATTTATCATTGTATATGTAAAGTTAAGATGCATTATGTTTACTTATGTTGTCTCAGTTTAAGACTAATTACACTTGTTATCCTGCAGAATCATTCGTGATATCATTCAAAATCATTTGCTGCAGGTAATCGAAAGCAACCATGCTGTTTTTTTTACTAGTAACCTGTCTAATACAGAATTACTTATGTCATGGAATAGAAAATTGAATTTTTTACTTGTGAGGAAACAGGCAAGATTGATGTGTTTATTCTCCACTAATGTACTTGTTTTAAAAATTGTTTATCTTATTAAAAGCAACAAAAAAAATAGAAAATGGCCCTCAGGATCGGAACACTTACTGTTTTACAACCATGTTGGGATCCAGATTTTGAGATATTTGCTTGGACGATAAGCTTTATCATACGCTTCCAAGACATCATAACAATGAAAGTGCTTGTTACATTTCTGTTATTGTATTGAAAGTTGATATGGCTATAAAAACCCCTCATCTTCCGTAATCCTTTTTTTTCTCTGCCTCTCTTGACACTCTGTTTCTTATATTTGTTTCAATTACCTTTGATCTTCAATTAATGTCCAGGTTATAACTCAAAGAGTTGGTATGGCAATGTATGTCATGTGCCAACATGTTGATCAATATGGCAATTGTTGGTTCTTGAGATTACAATAGTGTTATTAATAGTTTTGGCTGAACAAACCCAAAATTTTACAAGCTTATGGTATCCTAGAAATCTGGTAAAGTTAACACTACTTCACTATATAAACTAATCATATTTCCAACGGCTACCATTTCACGAGATGGGATGTGTTAATTCCTTTTTGGCACAAGAAAATTCTGTGCTATGTTGATTGGCATATCTCTGACCAAATGACACTGGCCAAAAATTTATTAGCCATGTCACAAGTCGGCATGGCACATGTGAGTACCTCTTTAGCACATGTGAATTTTATTTTTGTTGTCTTCTTCCTTAATTTGTGAATCATTATACTTGAAGAAACAACTATTTTGATTGCATAATAATTTAAGAAATGATAAAATATGTTCTTATATACTGATGCAGGTTCTTCTTATATACTGATGCAGGTTCTTTGTTTGGTAGCTATGGAGAAACCTGTTTCACTTAAGCCTGAGCATATTCGAGATGAGAAAGTGAAGGTCATAACTTATTTTGTATGGCATACAATAAACCATTTATTAATATGGCCGTTCTTGACCATCCTATTAGTACAACAAATGAACCACCACATTTGTTTGCCTCTAGTCTAAAACTTGGCCATCTCTGTGGTATATCTTTCTCACCATTTATATCAACTATCAGGTTCTTCAGTCAGTGCTACCGATAAAACTTGAAGAGGTAGTACTTGGACAGTATGAAGGCTACAAAGATGACCCAACAGTTTCTGACAGCTCGAATACCCCTACATTTGCAACTGTTATCTTGCGTATAGACAATGAAAGATGGGAAGGTCACAATTTTCATTTACTAGACTTGTCAATGTGTTCAAACATTCCTTTTCATTCTTTTGATGCTCATCTATCTTTGCTATTATATTTAGGGCTCTAGAGTTTGATGAAATGACATAAAAAAATTATGAATGACTATTTCCGTGTTGTGCATGTCCAAAATTTTGTTAACATTTCCCATGCTCACAGGTGTCCCTTTTATACTCAAGGCGGGAAAGGCTTTGAATTCCAGAAAAGCAGAAATCCGTGTTCAATTCAAAGATGTTCCTGGTGATATCTTTAAATGTATGGCCTTGGAAAATTCGGTTAATGAGACTGTCAGCTAACTAATTTTCTCTTAAAAAGTTTACAGTTTCTCTTGTTCAGTCTCCAGTTCAAGCAATAATGTCCAACCTCACAAATTTCTGATGACAATTCACTTCAGCAAATGTTGGGAAACTAGAAATTGAATAGAATTACATTTTTTCTGTTTCATATCTGGCCGTCATCTTAGTGTCCTCTACACTTGTCAGTTAATAACACTCTTATTAACTTATTTCAGTGTTCTGTTACTAAATGTGCTCAGGTAAGAAGCAAGGGAGAAATGAATTAGTCATTCGCCTGCAACCATCAGAAGCCATGTATATGAAACTAACAGTAAGCCTCAAACTATTGATTTCTGATTTTGTATCATAGCATAGGCTTACATTATGGAACCAGTATTTACGTCGGAGGCATCTTGTAGGTCTCTGGCTATTTTACTATGAAAGATTTTAGACCTGAGACTCCAGCGTTACAGCCTCAAGTCTGGCTGCAATCGCCTCGTTGGTTGACTAAAGGATGAGACTTTTTACGTTATCCGATATAGATAATAGGATGTCATTAATGTGTAGACTTGGATAACACTCTGGGCCTGTTACATGCTATATAGATGATTGTATCTCATTCCATATATAGATAATAGGATGCCATTTAAGTTTCCGTTATTGTGTTAAGAGTACGTTATTGTGTTAAGAGTACTTGATTCTGCTTTAGGAGCCTCTTTGGTGCTTCTTGCTATTTGTGTGCCCTTTGTATAACCATTCAGTTTGTGATTTCTTTATTTTCTTTTGCAGGTCAAGAAACCTGGACTGGAAATGTCAACCATACAGAGCGAACTGGATTTATCTTATGGGCTTAGGTATCAAAATGTCAAAATCCCAGAGGCATACGAACGGTTGATCTTGGACACGTATGCTCCTTAACTTGTTATTAACTTTTATTCACTACCCTCCTATCTTCAATATCAACATAGCTTTTCACATATCAAAGCTGGTAGATTGTCAAGAATTTATAATTTTTTTCTGCTGACTTCTATCTTTCACAATGATATCAGCACTGATGTACCTTTGGCACAAATCTTTCGTCTCTAACAGAAACGTATCGTCTAGTTCACAACTTTGTAATGATGAGCCATAATCTAAGTTAATAAACAACCAACTTGTGCTTGTTCTTTGGTGGATTAATAACAAGTGATATATAGGCTTCTGCAGATCAACAACCAGCAATACTAAGCCAAGTCATTTAGTTGTTGTATCTAGAGACTTTCTCAGGGATTTTGCATGCTAAACTACAAGAATGTGTTGACCTTTTTAATGCTTGATATGAAGAAGTTCACAAACCATCTCTTAAGAAAATTAGAGAAGATAGAATGCAGAAAGGCATTAAAATGGAGGCAGATAATTCTAAAACACAAGAGGGAATAAGAAAACATGACCTGGAGTTTGAGTGCAAGATATCTTTGTGTACTGGGTTTTTTAGTAAGTTGCAAAATATGTTTGATCTTCCTAGTATGTCTGATGTTTGAACAGATATAATTTTGCATGAACTTCTCATGCTGAGGAATCCATTTACTACTGCAATTTTCTCTTTAAGATTCAAGTTTTAGCTTTGATTTTAGCATTCCTTGTTCCATTTATGTTCTAAGTCAAAGCTTGTGACTGTTTGGCCATCCAGTCTTCTTTGGCCCTTTGCTAATTTCACATTCCCTTCAGAAACTTGCAATTTACTACAGTGAACTGAAATTTTTGGTCCCAACATCCATCTGCTCATGCATATGAAGTGTAACTTGACAGCTAGTTTACTATTCTTTCTTTCTTACAGAATAAGGGGAGACCAGCAGCATTTTGTTCGCAGAGATGAACTGAGAGTATGTGCATATGCATAGCAAATCTAAGTAACAGAAAAAATCAGTTTGTTCTTATTGTATTCCATGCGTGTTTTAGGTGGCATGGGAAATATTCACTCCTCTTCTACACCGTATCGATGCGGGCCAACTGAAGCCGATTTCGTACAAACCGGGCAGCCGCGGTCCGGCCGAGGCTGATGAGTTACTTGCCAAAGCAGGATATGTGCAAACACACGGCTACATCTGGATACCACCTACCCTGGATTAATTTACTTGATCTATTATTTCCTTGCATATTTCTATGAGCTTGTGTGTATGTGCACCTAAAGCCATGCATGCTTTGCATCAGACATTATCATCTTTCTAAGTGTAACAGTCCCGCAAGTCTTTTTTTTGCCTCTAAAGCATGTCTCCTATTTAAGCTTGTAGTCCACCGAGTGCTAAGTCTTTTGACTGCTGAGTTTCTCCTTTAAATGTACGTTTGGTTTCAGTCAGGAGGCAGTAAACAAAATAAACTTGTGCAAATTCAAGTTCATGGAATTTGGAAAGTGGACCATTTTAATGGATTCATATTTTCTTGTACTCCCAAGTCTTTTTTTGAGCCAGTTGCAGGGTGAATTGATAATACTTGAACCTATTCAATGGCCACTATTCCTGGACATAAAAGAAGCCTAAAATTGTCTTTTGCTTGTGCAAGAACAAGATATAGACATTATTCACAGAGCTGAAATGGCAAGATGTTGTCTTCATAGATTCTGTTCCTGTATCTCTGAAATGTTAGGAGAATGCTGGTGGATCATCTATAGCCTCTAAAAGCAGTAGGAGCACAAATTGGAGCTGGCTTGAAATGAAATATCTTTTGAATTGAAGAAGATATAATACATGGGGACATAATAATAAATCTTCTTCTTACTTGGTGGTGGAAAATAAAAGATTCCCTCATCTTAGTCAATATCCAGCAGTTCAATCATGTCTTATTACATGATTGATACTAGTGTTGATAATAAGATTATCTATCTAAGATGAATAACTCCTGATCTGTGGTCGACATCAAACAAAGAAAAGAGAGGGATTGAATTGAGTAAGGTTGAATTTGATTACTAAGAAAACAAATGATTGATTCCTGGCAAATTTCAGTATCTCCAGTTTCCATTTGCGAGTATGAATTTGCACATCACACAGCATCTCCATAATCCTTAAACAAAAAAATTTCTTCAGAAGGGGTGATTTTGCATTCTATTTATATGGCAAAAAGTAATCTGGGTTATAAATGAAAAAAAACGGCAAATAAAACTGATATAAGTTTGCAACAATAAGAAACAGCAGATTTACATGCCTTGCTAGAGTACGTCAGTCGAAAGAAGCACTTTTTTTTTTTTTTGAACTTAAATGATACTTTGGTGTGTCCAACGATATCGATAGTAAGAACGAAATGGAGAATTAATTGAATGACAACAATTATATCATCTGAAAGTCTTGCATTCATCAGTTAAACAAACAACAGATTATACGCGATTAACGACTGGCAACATCAACCTTTTTTTAACGAGACTGAGGCCAGAAATACTAGAAAACAAACCTGACTAACAACAAAAGATGAAATGTATTTCACACTACTTATGTATCGATGCCCTCAAATAACTATTCATAAACATCATCCCTCAAAAATTTGCTGACCCAAGGAAATGAGCTTCTGGATAATTTGCCGTAGTGCTGGAGCACTCACGGTGCATTTTTTATCAGCAAAACATGAGCGCCCTTCCTCCGCTGCACGACAAAGATGAGGATCCAATGGCACTTTCCCGAGAAATGGGACTCCCATTTCAGTGCACATCTTTGCAGCCCCACCTCCACTGCTATCGAACACCTCACTGCATGCAATCACAGACAGCAGCTCTGGGGCATTTGATCTAATGTAACTAAGTGCCCACTCGGTTACATCATTCTCATCTCCAGTCTCATTCGACTTCACAAACCTGAAATCTGAGATGGACTGCCACATCCCACTCATGTTCTCAACAACCCCCAGAACCCGGATGCCGACCTTCTTGCAAAAGCTGATCTCCTTGCGCACATCGATCAAAGACACCTGTTGTGGGGTGGTCACAATGATAGCACCATCTATGCCGGTGGCTTGCAGAAACTGAACTATAGAAATATGCTCGTCGGATGTCCCGGGGGGTGCATCCACCACAAGATAGTCCAGCTCTCCCCAATCCACATCCTTCAAGAACTGTTTGATGAGTCCGTTCTTGCGAGGACCCCTCCATATAACAGCCTCATCAGGGTGGGGGAGCATGAAACCAATTGACATGACCCCAAGGTTTGATTCGACATAGACAGGGGACCAACCAAGGTTGCTTTGGTGGATGTCCTGCCCTTCAAGACCAAGCATCTTGGGGATGCTAGGCCCACATATATCTATGTCAAGAAGGCCAACCTGGTAGTTCATCTCAGCCAACGCAAACGAGAGCTGTGCAGAGAACGTACTTTTTCCAACTCCACCCTTTCCAGATAGAACCAGTATTTTGTGTTTAATAGCCGCCATTCTTTCTGCTATAGTCACCATATCTGACAAAAGATTACACATCTCTAAGTAATTTGATCATAGTAATGTATCTAGGAGTTCTAAGTATTATGGGAATAGCAGTTGAAACTTTGACGATACAGAGGTAGGCACTCGACTATTTCAATAAATTAACACTATGTAAAGGTGAGCTCAAAAATCTTGAACAATGAAAGATAATCAAACTTAAATTGCAGCTAACCATGCCTAAAATAAATTTTTTTTCTATAATGCTTCAGAAGAGTCTCTCTCTAAAAAGACAGCACATCATAACATCAACAGACTGCTGATTGCCTCAAAACATGAACTGTAGGACCTACGACCTAAATAATTATCATCTATCCTGATGATGTAGCCCCGAAAACTTCACCAACTTGAAGACTTCTGATCAGCATCCATCATGATGTTGGAAATAATACTTACTGTTTTTAGTGCCATTAGCAGCTCAATTAACTCTACATAATTTTAGAATGGACTCATGCTAGACATTCCAACAAACTGCTTCTTATGGATCTGTCGTTTTTTGGCAATTTATATAAACAGGCAAAACATAAAATTTAACATATCAGATAAATTCAATATGGCCTGTCTGATCTCACTTTGCCATAAGTTCTTCACGAGGGACATTAAAGGCCTAGCAAAGTACCAGTTGACAAATTTTCTCTTAAGTTGGAAATAAAACAACACCAAACTAAACCAAGCTTCAGAAATCATGCTGAACATTCTTAAAGTTTTCTGGCATTCCTTGCTACCAAGTGCCTAAAAGATTTTCTTGAAAACCAAGGCTTAGATTTATACATACAATTCCTCTCTCATGTTGCATATAGTCTTCCAAGAACAAGCAGCATCATGAAGAATTACTGCACAATTTTTTGACTATTCAAACTCTGCAACAGAACTCAGTCTAGGGTTATATACTATGCCACAAATACGAGAAAAAACGAGAACGTTGTTAATGTAATATGGGAGATTGGAAGAGAAGTACCAGGGTCGGGGCCAGTTGGGGCAGTGGCACAGATTTGCTGATTAGGGCACCCGGCGCAGGCATCTGCCTTCCCCGCCTCCTCCGACTGCGGCCCCGGGCAATCTGAAAACCCTCAGACCACAAGGAAAAAAAGAATCAGAGAAAGAGGAACACAATATCCGCTTAAAATTTGGAAGAGGAAGAAATCTTACGTTCATTTGCGTTCTCTGGGATGTCGTGATTTCCATTCTCCATCTCCTCTCTCTCTCTCTCTCTCTCTCTCTGACCTTCTGGAGAGGTTGAAATAAACATCAAATAGATATTTATACGGTATGGTAATGAATGACGGAAAAGCCCATGGCTTGGAATCCATTCGATCAAGATCGGACGGATAGCACGCGATCTTTCTCATTTGATACCAACAACAGCGCCGCGGTTGCGTGGAGAGCCCAATAGGGAGATGATGAGATGAGCGCGATTGCGCCCAGATGATGGGATGAGGGCGATTTTGCCCCACCGCGTGGCCTTATCGTCGCCCTTCCCTTCGACCGACGCGCTCCATCTGTTCGTTCGCGCGGCCCTCCGAAAAGAAGTTGCTTTTGCCTCGCCTCGATCCGCGGCGGCTGCGAGGGGCGGCGCGGGGCGTAGGACGCGACACACGGACTCCCCATGGCGTCCTCCGGGTACTGGAAAAGCTAGCGACTTTCTCTGGTTTTTGGTGTATATCCGATCCATTCTCTTTCTCTTCTTGATTGGCTCCATGTGTCGTTTCATCTTCCTTGCTTTGCTTCGTCTTCTTCGGTTGTTTTCGCTCTGTCTTAGGGTTTGTTCTAATTCATGCCATTCTCTGGCGTTCGAAAGTAATGTTTGCAGGAGGTTGAGTCCACAATCATGTTAGATTCGCCCCAAAATATGCTCTTGTTTGTGTTGCAGTAACCAAAGTTCACTAAATTTGATTCTTGGAGTAGTCACATTTTCATTGGCAGAGCTCCTTGTGGACAGGGATTTCTTTCCTGATGAATATCTTGTTTAGATTTGTCGTACAAAATTTGGATGCCTTCCAGGATACTGCCTAAGATTTAGATGAAATGACTGCTCCTTTTGATTTTTTGTTTAGGATGGATCATCATGGTCAAAGGAGTACTACAAAAAGAAAAGGTTCTTGCTATTTTCATCAAAAATCTTACCCATTGAAAAAATCGAGATAAAAATGAATGATTTACCCATCTTGCATTGCATGCTAAGGAATATGGTGAACTGTGTGTATGTTCAACTTTGTCCTATGTTAAAACCGGAAGCATGTCATCTTGATTTGGACATTTTGACTATAATATTTGGGTCTTGCTACCACGGGCTAAGACCTTAAGGATAAAAACCTATCAGGCTAATAAATCTGTAGAAAGATGGACAAAGGAAAGAGGTTTAGAAGCTGAATTTTGATGATTGGGTGGATGGACGGTTTTGAAGGCCAAAGCTAGATTGTCCATAAGCTCACAAAGAGACAGTTCTAGAAGAAGATAATGGAACGAGGAATCAGTATCAGTAAACTTTGCAGTTAATGGGAAATGTACTCAAATAAGTAAAACGATTCTAAAAACCTAAGAAAATTAAGAAACTCTTGATTCTTGAAGTATAATTTATGAATCTATAAAAATGAGTGGTCATATGAGTTTGGTGTTCATCCATGACTCCTGAGATGGAAAAAATTATAGAAACTGACTTTTTGGGGTTCCATAAATATTTAACTTCATCGGGATTTACTGAATTAACTGCTGATCGTCACGAAGAAAGCTGTGTGTTATTGGGGTATTCATGCAATATCTGGCTACAGGTTGAAATGGGATTAGAATCTGATTATCTTTTTTCTACACGTGATGCATGGCCTGTAAGTTGACTATGGACATCAGAGTAATTTGTGGAATATCGGGTTCTTGAAGAGGATGTTTTCTAACATTACAAAATGTCACTTTTCTCATGTTGTTTTCACAAGGTAGAACTTTTCTAATTGACATTTCCGAATAGTCCAGTGAAGTAAGTTGAGTATTCAAGTTAAATGCTATCTCTAAATGCATCCAATAATTTTGAAGTCTGACAATGTAGTATTTAATCAATATGTTTGTCGTGTACATCTGAACTCTTCATTCAATTAACTACCAGCTTCTTTTTTTTATTTTCTTCATCTATATTTGAACAATTGCTGAAAATAGTGGGATCACTGGTCTCCTATGGGAAAATGTCTAAATGTTTGGTTTCTGGGAACTATTAGGCACCAAAGAATGTAGGAACATTATTGTAATCCAAAAAATTTATAGGGCCAATTTCGGAAAACTCTATCTAATTTGCTATTGTCCTGACCGCAAGTTTAGCATCTAGTGCTTTGCTTATCTGTTTATGATGTCACTTCAAGTGTAGAAAGACATCATGATGCCTTGCAAGAAACATGATCCTAGCATTGGTTTGCAAGAAAGATGACCTTGGCATTGCTTTAGAGGAAAATCTTCTCATTTCGTATCAGTTCTACAGAGTCACATGGCTGACATTGTACTTGATTGTCCTATATAGAATTTGGCAGAGGATCACCAGATGTTCCAAAATATTCCTTTCCAAATTAGCACTCTTTTTAAGTTTCTTCTGAAGGGAACTTAGCACTTTCAAGCAAGTCTTTTACTTTCCTGTCTTCTTTATATACCTTGTTACATGATTCTGTGTTCTTCATCTAATGATCAAGCAGTGTATGGTTTTCTTAGGACCCTCCAACCAAGCCTAATTGCCAACTTCGATAGACCAGTTGCATCTATAATGAGTCATTCATGCGTTGGACATGCTAAATTTCTGCCGTCCAAAAGAAACCGTGAAGGTTACATCCCCAGAACTTGTACTGCATCCTCACTACAGGTATATCCACCATCATTGCGGACGACCTTTTGCATTTCATCAGCGTTGGTAGCCTCAGTTCAACCCACATCTTCTGATGCACCCCAACGATCGGCAGAGTGGTTTGCTCTCCGCAGAGACAAGCTTACCACAAGCACCTTCAGCACTGCCTTGGGGTTCTGGAAGGGCAACCGAAGGTCCGAGCTGTGGTACCAGAAAGTTTTTGCACCAGAAGCAGACATGATTGAGGCACCTGCTAGGGCTGCAATGGACTGGGGCGTGTTCAACGAGCCTGCCGCTATAGAAAGGTACAAGAGTATCACAGGAAGAGATGTTAGCTCTTTAGGCTTTGCAATCCATGCAGAGGCTAGTTACATTTGGCTTGGCGCATCGCCTGATGGACTTCTAGGCTGCTATCCAGACGGTGGGATCTTGGAGGTGAAGTGTCCCTACAACAAAGGTAAGCCTGAGCTTGCGTTGCCATGGCAAATCATGCCATACTACTACATGCCCCAGGTGCAGGGCCAGATGGAGATCATGAACAGAGACTGGGTCGATCTCTACTGTTGGACTCCCAATGGCAGTAGTATATTCCGGGTGTACCGAGATCGTGCATACTGGGATCTGATGCACCGCATCCTTCATGAGTTCTGGTGGGGAAGTGTGGTGCCAGCAAGGGAAGCATTGTTGCTGGGAAGGGAAGCAGATGCCAGAGCCTACGAGCCAAAGCGCAAGCATCAGCTAACAGGGTTGGTTATCGGCACAAGCAGGAAATTAGCTGCCGATGCGAGGCTCCTGTGCAGGGACATTGGAGGCCATATCGAGTTCTTCAGATGATATTCTTATGGTTTGCTCTGGAAGCTGAGAACCACATTTGCTTGTCAGAAAAATCTGTTCAAACCTCACACAAGGCCTTTCTCAACACAACATGAATTCTGTTGAGAAAAGGTTTTGATGATGATGATGATGATGATGAGAAGGCAAAGCTCTCATGTGGTTTGATTGTTGTTTCAGCTTGCTGTTGGATAATATTAATCAAAAATTGTTCTTTGGAATCCAAAAGATATTTCTATTATCATGTCTTGCAAGCTACCTCAGTCTGAAGCGAAGTTTGAGTTGGCTTCCTGTTGTGTGCCAAGATGAAAAACTAGATTTGGTTGCTTGTGTATCTAAGAGATAAGCCTCTCTTCTTTTCTTGTCCTTCTTGGCAATTCCACTGGGTTTGCCTATTTAGTAATTAGATTCCTTTCTTGGCCTGGTGTCTCATATCTGATTCTTTACCAGTCAACCAAGAACAAGAAACATTTATGATCCACAGGAAAACAAATAAAAGTAAGAGCATCACAATATGAGTTTTCGGTTAAAAAAATTAAGTTTAAATAAAATTATCAAGTAACTAATAATTTTTTTTAGATAAAATCAGTTGCTTAATATTTGATAATTAATGAAACATCAGTCAGGTATCCCAAGCCTTATAATCATGGGTTTGCCTATTTAGTAATTTGTAGTTAATTCTCTAAATTAATTGACTCAATAATCTATTGAGTCTGAACTACTAATCCAAAATACTTAAGTATAAGTGAATATTAACATATACAATAACTTCTTATAACACAGTTAAGTCCTTCCACATATCCAGACTAAATCAGAACTATTATATAATGATGAGGTATGGATGTTGACAGAGCATCTCCAATGGCATGAAGCAAGTGCTCTTTGGCTTCGACAAGCAATTGATGTGATCCAAGAACAAATAAGTTTAGAAGAATCTAGCTATGAACACCACAATATGTCCTCTTATCTCAATGCATCATCATTATGTGTTTAATTGTTTTAAAATATTGAGAATGAAGATATAAAACCAGTTTTGCAGGGTTCTGAGTTTGATTCAATATTGTGATGCTTATGAATGTCATCAGTTTCAAAGTTTCTGATACATCATTGTTATCGTCTAATTAAGCTTAGCTGACTTAATTTGCATAATTTGTTATGTTGTCCACAGTCTTAATGATATGTTTGGAGTTGATAAAGCTATATATATCTGTTCATATCCTCTTCTAACAAATGAAAGAGTTAAATCTGTTCTGATTCTTGCTAATGAACTTTATCAACCTTAAGATTCTGCATTGGCCATTTTTACCTGCTGCTTTAGTTTGAATGTATAAACAGAGCCAAGAAGTTCTACCCTAGAAAATTAGTGACATGAGATTATTAATGGATCCTGGAATGCATGAATCAAACAATGACACACACATTGGCAGCACATTCATTACAATCTTTTAGATGTTAGCTATGTGATTAAATCACAACTATTTTATTACATTCTGATATAGATCTCAGATATCAGCCATGTAGAAGAATAACCGCCTCTGCCAAAACAAGGTTAAGCTGTTTTTCTCCTCTATTAGCTTTATGCTCCTAAAATCTCCATCTCAAGTTAATCTTCATCTTTGGAGTGAATTCTGACTCACATCAGAGGAGGATTTCATCAGGCACATTCTTACCTCCTTTGTTTTTTGCAGGATTCTCTTCGGTGTGATCCATGTCCCTGGTGGAGCATCTTCGTTTAACTCAACTGACTTTGCAACCTACTCTCCTTCGACTTGGCAAATACCTCGGTTCAGTCTACCTTGACTCAGTCCATCTTGGTATGGCTTCACCTTTGCACATTGTAACTCCGATAATTCTATGTAAGATTAGGTATCAGCTTCAGTTGAAACTTGCAGAACTTCCACTCATTTGAACACCTCATGGAAGAACTTGCGGCTTAAAGTTGAACAACATTGACAATTTGAACACCTCAGGTGTTACTTGCACCTCAAGCTTTGGAGAATTCCTCTTGTTCCAGATTTCCTGATCCTTGCATTCAGATTTTGCTCCATTTGTTACTGTTTACATGGATGCTAGTCCATATCAAAGTCAAGCCAAACAGGCTTCTTACTGAGTTGCATCAGCAAGGTCTTTGGTTTTTCCCTGATGCTGATGCATCCATCTGGAGAATGTTACCTCACCTGCAATTGATGAAACTACTCAAAAAGAGAGATAATGCAAGGAAGCTCTCTAACTTATTGAAACAGTGTGACATCAAATTTACATTGTTCAAAAAAGGAAAGAGCAATAGAACTGTTAGAGAATGCAAGGAAGCCATAAGTCAATTTTCACTCTAACAAATGATATTAGAAGAAACCTAAATTTGTGAAGAGCAGTTGCTACAAGCTCATAATTATGTTAATAATCAGACACAATTTATTCAAGAGAAGAAGATACAATAAATGCACATGTTTGGGGACACAAATGACTATTTGATGAAATTTCATGATGGCAGTCAAGGCCTGCAATTGCTGCTCCTCTGTCCTATCACTTCCTTGACATGAACAACTTAATCTTTGGAGAACACTAAATCAGGAGTGGACGCAGTTCCATATCAGGCTATGTTAAACGAAAGAGAAGGCTGCTGATGCTCTAAACACCTCACTACAATCTTCATGTCCAAATTCAACAAGCTACTGACCTAACAAATCACTCCAGAAACAAATTCTGAGAAGTTACACACCAACCATTGTTTTTCCTACGTAAGCTTCATTCTCCGTTTCTTCTCTTCCAGGAAAAATCACATCTTTATCAACCAACATATTTATATTATGGAAAAGCTTCTAAGACAATATCAAAGATAAAAATGGAGACATAAGACTCATAACCTTGTGAACCAGAGTTCATAACACATACCACCCAGCAAAGACATCAACTTGTTCCCACAATTCTTGCATTAAGAAAGATGACTGTATGAAAAGCAAAATGTTATACCATTATTGAATGCCGATTAACATTTGTATGCATAATGGATTGCTAAGTGCTTTCAGCAAAGTAGAAACTTAGCAATTTTATGCTGCATCAATTTTATTTATATGTGGAGTAGCTATATATAGATTATGTCATGAACCAAGCAAGTAAATTGTTTTCGATTTATGAAATGAATAGCATACAGTTATCTGTCCTTTTTCTCTCCATTCTCCTCTCTAAAGAGCTCCAACCACAAGTTAGATATCCACATGATACTGACCAAGATCGCACCACCGACCACAATGACCCATGAAACAGAAACCCAGATGGGAATCACATTGCTGGCCTTTCCACTCAAATAAAAAGTGCTCATTTTGTAGAAGAACACCGGCCCGATGAATCCCCTCATGATCGTATACAAAACATAGAAAGGAGGAGCCAAATTCTTGTGTATTTTTGCAGCGACTGACAACTCTGCTTTCCTTAATCTGGCCAGTGTCCACACGTTCTGGCAAGCACTGGTGACCTCAGCTAACACGAGAAGGACCAGAATCGAGAATGCACCATGGGCAACAAGGTAGCGGCAGGTGACGAACACAAAGAGTGTTGCAAGGTGGTGGGCAATAAAGAGGTAGTCTCCAGGGATGAAGATCAGGTAGTGGAGGAGATCAACGGTGAAGTAGCCAATGCTGAAGTCGAGCACAAGGTTTTGGAAGTCGGTATTCGGTGAGGCAAATCCTCGAACAGGTTGATTCAGGATGGCAGCGACGGCCAAGAATACGGCCGGCGTGCCATGGAACAAAGAGATGAAGCAACTAGATGCATCCAGACGACACTTTGGGCTCCAATTGCGGAAGACGACGAAGTATCCAATCAGATATATCACAGAAAACGTCGCGAAAACATGGGGAAGTAGCCGGTATCCAGAAATCAGAACGTCCATCACCAGATTAACAAAAAATCGAACCTTGGGCAAAGCAGTCGATTAAGAAGGCTCCAAGTCGAAATTTTTCCCAGATCAAGCAACGGTGGAATAATAGGATGCACAAAAAGGCGAGATCTTTCCTGATCGAACAACTAGCAAATCGACAAAGGCCACAGCTTTCGACGCAAAAGACCGAGCTTTCCACGGACAAAGAAACGCACCCCCAAGCGTACTTGTCAAACCTCGGGGTAGCCGCAAAGGATGGGAGCAGAGGAGACAGTTCCTTCGGCCCCAAAGACGTCGCCTTGAAGCACCGCGCCGCCTACGAATCCTCGGTAACTGACAACACCATAGAAAGCATGCAACAGGTCTCGAGGCGTTTCCAGAGACGCCGCAACGCGTAATATAGAAACAGACGAAGAGGTGGATACTGTTTCGAGACGATATTTTTAGGGATTTATAGGTGGAGGAGAAAGAGGAGAAGCGTAATGCTCTCTCTAATGATGGAAGGCCATGTAAAGCTTAAGTAGAACTCCTAACAATAAGAATATTCTTTGAGAATATATTTGGGAGGAAGATTGGAAAGTAATCTACCAATAGGCATATACTCTTATGGTGGTGGTTTCTTGTAAGGTTCAATTAACCAAAGATGTGGATATGGTTTGTATTATTTTAGTGCCAACTAAATCTATAGAGCATGAATAACAATGCAATGCATGATGAACAACAGATTTACTTGAAATAGGGAACTCATTCCAAATTTGCTTATAAATGCAGAAAGGTAATTTGATATTAAACAAAAATCATAGTTCTGGACTTTTACCACATGTGGATGCAATGTGAGATGTCATGAAGGGTGATAGCTGTGCTTCCAAGTTTCCATATACATTTCTTTACTCTATCACTGCATGTCCAACCTTCAACATCATCCCACCAACAAGCACAATTTGTCGTGCATGCATAAATTACTCAATCTTTACATTTTTCTTTTCCAACCACAGTTCAAGTGTCACTCACCTAATAATATCAATATGAGCATGCTGTGATCATTGAAGTAGTCTTTTGTTTTTCTTGTTATGAAAGAAAACATCTTTAGTTTGCATTCTGCCAAAACTATCCAATACATGAGCAACCTGATCGGTGAAAGGACCGTGCGATTATATTGATGGAGATTTCAAAAGAAAAGATCAAACATTAGGTTCCGAGTAGTAGATAGGATCTCCTTCCAGTGATTGGACCCTCTTGAATTGGCTTTATTTATGATGGTGTATTGACATTGCAATGAAGACCTTGAAAACCTGCAATCAGAATTTTGGTGAAACAAATTGGTCAATAATGAGTTGTGTAGTATAACCTTTGACGTCAAGAAAGAAAATGAAAGATTCCTAGGGAATAAAGGAGAAGAAGATGCTATCTTCATGAATAAATTGCCAACAAGCTGCATTGACCTTGGCGGTATTCCGTAGCTGACCTATTCCTGGGAAGATATTGTGTCTTTGACTTCCAGTCTTTATAGAAAAAATTGTGTGACCCGAGAGGACAAAAAATGCTTATGCCAATGATTAAAGGCCTAATGCCAATTAACATCATACTGAAAAGTTATAACTTTATGTATATGGGCAGAAGTGTGAGGAACACATGAAAGTTCTGTAGGATCAACAATAAAAAAAATAAACTAAAAAATAAATATAAAATTTATATGGTTCAATACTCTTTGCCAAGAATTCTCTCTTAAGTTGATTCCAACAAAGAAACTCTCATGGCACTCAAAAGTTCTTTTTACTATATCCGACACCAAAGACATGACGTATATAAGATACTCATAAGACAATCAAAAGGGTTTTTCTTCTTCAAGAAGAAGTCCCTCCAAATCTGAATAACTTGTCTTCCAAGTAATTTATTTTTAAGTAGGGAGTCTAAAATCCTTCAACCCCAAATAGAAAGACATGGAACATGTTTTGTGATCTAATAATATGAAGCTCAATAGTAAAATGCCTATCTTGCTGGAAACCAAATGCAGCAGGAGGCCAATAATGATCTTAAGTCTTACTCAAATATATAACTAGTCATATATGCAAGTTAGGTAAATTTCTTCATGTGGAGAGTTACAAGGACAAACATGAGGCTATAGTTAATTACCATGTCCAGTTTTAAGTTGTAGTTTGATGCATTTCTACATCAAAACATACCCAACAATAGCTAACTTTTTAGTGACAATAGGATAGCTTTTTCTTTTTGTGCAAAGGAAGATGGATCTTATTATTATGTTATACTCACGGAGTTGTTTCTTTTCAGAGATTAGCAGTCATGTCAGCATTCACCAGGGACAGTCACAGGTAGGTACATGATCAAACAAGAACCAGAGCATTGGATAAGCTTCCATCCAGCATGAAACTTTGATGTTTCTGCTAGCTTATTTCTTTGCTATGGTTTTGGCAAAACCAATCACCCCTTCCTTTGCAGCACTATAATTAACTTGGTCAATGTTCCCCACTCGCCCGACAACAGATGCTAATTTCATAATCCTCCCCTGATCAGATACGCAATGAACAAAATCTAAATACCATTTGAACTTTGATCTCAAAATCTCGACAGAACATCAAAACATAATTGTGCTGCAGCTCATGGATTAAATCGACTTATTTCATGAATGATATCCTCGTACATCTATTGCCTCCGAATTTATTACATCTCATTCCTCTACTGTATACAAATTTATCACATTCATAATGAATTGCAAAGTCATGGATAAATCTGAAGGAGCAAAGGCTGAGATATGTCAACATGCATTATCAACTAAACTGATTCTCAATTAACAAATTGGACCTAAGCTGGCTGGTCATAAATTTTATTTAAGCATGCAAAACACTCGTATATCCATCAAATCAGCTCCCTATTATCAACCTTATATGAATCACATTCTAAACCCAATTTCTTATACTTGATAAGCACCCGATGCCAACTTCATCCAAATTTAAGGCATCCACTCTCTAACTGCGCACTTATCGGAAAAGGCCTCCATCTAAATCTAGTATGCCCATTTTCTCAAACACCTTCAGGTAATCATGTTGGCCCTAAGGATATGTTAGCCAAACCATCTTCCTCCTCTATGGTAAATGGTCTTAGCTATCTTTAAACTAGAATGCAGTGAGTACATAAAGAAGTTAGGTTATAAAATATTAATGATTAAAACAAACATGGATTTGTCAATTATTAGATGCAGAAAAATCAACCAGCAACCTAAAAAGTTCATGAATTCCTCGAGTATGCTGATCATAAGAAGTTCGACGGTCTTTTTCTGTCAATTTATGGGAAACCCTAGAAAAATCTGTTGTCAAGGCACATGATATAAGCAAATGAAACATCCAGTCTTTCAAGCAACTCCAACAAATTAGCCAGTGGCCCGGCAACAAGCAAAAGCATGAAGTCAGTCGAATTACCCAATGTAAGCTTCTCTGGCATCCAGGATTTGCAAGCAGCGAAGGGACGGCGAGAGAGGAGAGGGCTGCGTGGGGCGAACGCCGGCCGATCGTTTGGGCATTTCTCGTGTGTTTCGTTACCTTCGATTAATAAAAGGTGTATTTGGTCAATTAGAGGTTTTTTTGGTGCGTAAAAGTAAACAGCAAATTATTTTTTTGGCACATTAATTATGGGCTTAAAAACGGTATTATAATAACCGTAATCACTGTCCCGTTAACGTACATTTTTTGGTGTTCTCCTGTGGAAAGCAGAAAGCAATTCTGGCCAGTACTACAGAAATCAGAAACACTTTTATGGCCAATACCATGGTTATGTTACTTTTGGTTGTCTGCTGCAGTTTTGATGGCAGAAAACACTGCAGAAAGAGGAACAAGATGATGAGTCTTTGGTAACAGTTAATGTTGCAGACACCAGATTCATGCATGCCCTCGTATTCACGAGCATTTCTACATAACACGTTATCAGATATATATACATACACAGTGCTCTTCTTCTTCTTCTTCCTTCTTTCCCGCTGGTCCGTCGCTTAAAAGCCGAGACTTAGCGCCGCTTTGACGTCGAGCCTCCACGCGCAACCGCCGCTGTCCAGCCTCCACACGTCGCACGGCGCAGCCAGTGGCGAGGACGGAGTCGTCTGCCTCCCTGGAGGCTTCGCCTGCCTGACACGCACCCTGCAAGTGAACGCTCGGCATTCCCAAGCCGGAGGCACCAATCCCCGCGTCACCAGCTCCACCCTCACCGCCTCGTCCTCCTCCCTTACTCCGCGGTCTCCCGACGAGGAACCCACCACCCTCCTCCGGCAGGCCTCGTTGGTCCACGTCACCCGTTCCCACACATCGGACACAAAACCGGGGCACTCGTCCGCAGCCAACGCCGCCCTCACCCCCTCGTCGCTCCTACGTGCGATCTCCCCCTCCCTCCACATGTCCGTCACGCACTCCACCGTCACCCACAAACTTACGACCCTCACCGGCCACGACTCCGATCCTCCCCCCTCCCCTCGCCCCATCCAAGTCGGCACCACGGCTGCAGCAGGAGTAACAGGACTAGAATGCTGCATCGACGACTCCGTCGCCACGTCCTTCCCCTCCGGCATCTCTGGAATCAACGGGAGCGTCACGATCGTCGACGATGACTTCTCATCCTCCTTTACCGCAGTCGCCTGCCCCCTCCTAGGCTTCCTGCCCTGGGACTTGGCGGATCTCTTCCTCTTCGGCCTCCTCGCTACGGCGCGCGCCTCTGTAGAGACTACAGAGACCGCCGGGGAACCTGTTTCAGCGGAGGCGGGCTTGGGGGCGATGGGGCGGAACCTGAGCATGATCCGCCTCACCTTCCAGGCAGCATCGACGTCGCCAACTCCGCCGTACATCGTTAGACAGCAACCGCCTTGCCGCACCATCTCCTCCTTTTGTTGGCTATTATTATGACTGGTGTAGTATCTGCTTTAAGCAAGAGCTGGCCATGACGGACATAGAACGACGGAGCATTAAATAGTGATGATGGCGAAGGACACGTTTCCCCGTAAGCGACATGGAGGGAGGGCATCTTTTTCCGCTGCCATTGGCCGAGGAGGACAGGTGGAGCGTGACGAGGGGCAGTTCATGTCAAAGGACAGACGCACAGGAGAGGGGGGACAAGGAGAGTGGAGGTGGTGAAGGGTACGGGGCGAATAGGATCTTGCGGAGTGTCTCCACGGGCGCGGGATGTCACAAGTGGGCGGTGCGTGAGAAGAGAACTGAAAGCGAGAGCGAGGAGGAGATTCTGGAGAGGGGAAGACGTGGGCGAATCGGAGGCGGATAGGGACGAACCGGAAGGGGGACGAAGGCGCAGGGATTGGATGGGGATCCGGGCAACAGTGGACGCGTGGAGCGTCCGAGGGTGACGTGAGACAATGCCGAAAAAAAGAAACTTTTTTCCCTAACTTAAGACAACCCGCTCGTTTACCCGTTAAAGAGATGGGGCCCTATGTGTCATGTGTCGCTGAAACGAATCGAGGAGTTGACACGTCGGAAGGGTGGTAAGGGTTGGGGTACCAAAATATTCGATCTTGTTTTTCTAGGGTACTACGAGGGGGACGGTGATGGTGATTGGTGGGTGCGAGGGATTGGGTTGTGGGGCCGACATTGTTACGAGAGGTCCTCGCTTTACCGTTGGTGAGTGGCTGAGATGGTAATGGATCAAAGTGTTATTGTTATATATTTTAATTTATCATCGTGCAACTAAAATTATATGGCTCAGTAAATCAAACGCAATGACGATCATAAATTATATTAAAAAATGATAAATATCTGAGAAATTAATTAAAACATTTTTAATTGGAATGAGATGAAATAGGATGAATTAATTAAAGTTGATAGGTAGCCAATTTATCTATGATTCTTTGATATGTAAAGAGAGATGTGGTATGTACGTTGTTGACGAGTTATGGTAATTGATTTGATTGATTATGATAGAGATAATCTCATAGAATAGCTTATTCGATTACATGATTTGAATAATTGATTGAGGAAAGCTTTTTCCTCTATAAATACTCATCAAATAAACTCAATGAATAAAATTTATCGTTTTTATAATATCTCAATTTTTTATGGTATCAGATTCACTCTTGCCTTGAGCAAGACTTCTCCTTCTTCACTCTCCAACGAGAGCAATCCTTCCTTCTCATCACTACCAATTTGTTCAATGCCCCTTCGGCCACACCAAGGATGTTATGCTCCTTCCTCCCCATTGATATGCCCTCAACGATGCTTTACTGGATACTCCCACTTTTGACCATAAAGTAATCGTCTCTTTTGATGACTAATTTGCCCTCTCCATAATGATCGGTGAAATAATACTCTCAGTACCATAATTGATGTCTTTGCCCTTTTCTCGATCAAGTGACATCGAAGTACAAGTATCATAATGGATATCATATGACAACATGCTCTAAAAATGATATTTTCAAATTACATCATATCCTTAACCTCTATGCTACCAAAACTCTCCACTTCCTTAAGCTACTTTTTGGGAGTGGAAGTAATATTCATATCTTTTGAATTTTTTCTATCTCGAAAGAAATATATTTAAGATCTACTATCAAAGACGAATATGCAAAATATCAAAAAAGTTACAACTTCACTCTCTACTACTGAATCACTAAAATTATATGATAGAAACCCTATTACAAATCTCACACAGTATCAATAAGTACTTGACTCCTTACAGTACATATTTCTCACATATTCAAACATCTCTTTTGTAACCAACAAATTATCACAATACATTAGCCTTCTACCACACATTGGTTTGTAGTAAAACAAGTTCTGCAATATCTAAAAAGGACTCTTAATCATAGACTTCTTTCATAAATACTCATCACTTTATCTCCATCCTTCGTCGATGTTAATTGGGCAAGCAACATTAATAATAAAACATCTACATCAACCTATGTTATTTTTTTTTGGAGCAAATCTACTCGTTTAGAGTTTCAGGAGACAGAAAACAGTCACAAGGTCTACCACTTAAGCTGAATACTGAGTCATCACTACCACTGCTGTAGAACTTAAATATGTCACCAATTTACTATAAGAACTTGATATCAACTCCAAGTTCACTCCTACAATATACTATGATAATGTCGGTGTCATCTACTTGTGCATCAATCTAGTATTTCATTCACATATGAAATATATTATCATATACTTTTATTTCATCATAGATCAAGTTGTCAAATATCAACTACGTATTTCTCACGTATATACTGCTGATCAACACTCCCTTGTAAAGCCTCTCACTTATAGGGGTACGATAGAAGATCATGATAATTAATTTGATTGATCATGATAAATGTAATCTTATATTTGAATAACTAATTTGATTATATGATTTGAATGATTGATCGTGAAAAAATCTCTCCCTCGCCTCCACATATGTATAAAATTTATCACATTCATAATATCTAATATCTTGATTCTTTAATTATTTAATCGATGATGAGAAATAATCTTACAAAACTAATAATGTGGCATTGACGAAGGCATTGATACAGTCCTACAAGGTCACTAATATCAGCAAATCATTATTTTGCATATTTTGGAATTGATACACTATTTCATTATATTTTGATGGTCAAGTAACTTTCATAGTTATTTTAAATATTTCCTATTATATCAATCCAAATAATGATCATCTACTATGTTATAAAAAAAACTATTTTTAAGTTTTGGTACACTCTCAGTCTAAACACAATAGTTTACTTTGATACTTGATTATATCTTTCAAATTTTTACTGTCTATCGAAGAAACCTTATTGAATACATTTATATCAAACGTTTCCATCATAGTTATTACAAGATCACGAGCCGAATTTCTTAGCATATCAATATCATAATATGCGATGAGCTTTCAAATCATTATAATTTATAATAGCTAGTCATCCATCTGTTCAATAATATTGAAAGCTTAACCAAAATTAATCCTCATGATACATGATTGATCTTTTTTCTGTAAGCTCTAATTCTTTTATATGAAGTAATATTATTAGTTTCCACTCTCCAACTCTCCTTTTGTTTTTTTCTAAAATATCTTCTTCTTTGGTAAAATGAAAAAAATATATGAAAGAGAAAAATAAAAGAAAAAGAAAAAAATATTAAATTAAAAAATTTATGCAAATAATAATAACAGTACTTTAAAATTAATTTTTTTTAAAAAAATTAATTAATGATAATGATGATTAATGATTTTGATCAAAGTTAATTGGACGGATGGTAATAAGAGTTACATATAAGTAGGATTCGAATATTTGTGGGGATTGTATTTAGAGGGATTTATATTCTACCTTAAAATTTGAAGGGTTGAATATGATATTTCTGAACTTGAAAGGGATAGATGTGTAAAAGCATCATATATATCTTAGTTTGATTTCAAATATTTAGGAGGGAAATATGCAAGGTTGTCCAGCAAATATATACAATTGGCTCGAGCCCGCCCTCCCCTTCCTCTCTATATGAGCTTATCTACAGGGAGAGAGGGGGGAAAGGTGAGAGAGCGATCGGAGAAGAGTCGATGGGCGACACGATGAGTTCTTCGTCCTCCTCGAACGCGTTTTCCTTCGTCCTCTACAACTACCCGCTGATCTCCGCGATCGTCGCCCAATCCACCAAGTTCTTTACAACCCGGTACATCTCGCCATCCTCATTACCATGACAAGTTCTTGTTTCATCCGTGAGCCTGTTGATCCGATCTGTTTCGGGTTTCTCTATAATTTTCTTGGTTTCTGGATGGAGGATTGGGGACGAGTTGTAGAGACATCGCGTTGATAACCATCTACTTTCTCTTTTTGGGTGAGATTTACGTCCAAGGAGTATTTTGGAATCGAATTTTAGGGTTTTGGGAAGATTCATGTTGTATGATTCTTTTGGGGCCTAAAATTACATTCAGATTTATTGACATTTTAGCTGTTTTAGTTATACATGCGTTCGATTTACTCTTTGGGAGTGCACATAAATCCACCAACAACGTCATATATGTACTACTTGTTGGTTCTTCCATCAAACAATTGGACATGGATTACTCCCTTTTTCGCTTACGGTTTTTGATCCATTAGCCAAATCACGCTGGCCAAGAGTGTAGTTCACGATTTTTCGAGCTATTCATCCTAAATTACAGCAGATCATCCTCTTTCTGATGCCTTTTTGAGGTCTGATGAAGCATGATTTGCTGAGATAAATGAATCAAACTTGTAAGTCGTGCATTCCTTTGGTTTGGCATATACATACTTCTTCATGTTCCATACTTCTATATAATCAAAAGAGAGATGGACATACAATATTTTAGGGCTTTTTAATAAATGATATATTTCTTGATATGATCATTAGTTTGTATACACATATATGCATATATTAACTCTTCTTCTTAGACCTCTGGAAGTTCATGCCAAAGAAATCATATATGAACTCAGCTGTTCATTCATCAGTCAAACTTGTCCTCTCGTGGATGTGTAAGCTGTGCTCAAGCGAACCTTCTGGTGAATGAAATCTCCTATTTGAACCAACTCAAATTTCCAAATATTTCTTTAGCTCACTGATAAAAAACAGATCTTTCGTTATGCAATTACAGCGACAGAGATGGCTGATATCGTTGAGCAAAGCATTTTATCATGACTCAGATCCCAGATTATGTAAGAGAAGTTATTCCATAGAACACAACACAGACAAACAACAAGAAGGATGAACAACTGATCTGATAGCAGAAGACACAAGGATTCACTGAACTCATCCTCTGCTCAGATTTTAGATGGTGTATTGGGGTGACGAGCAACTATCTGGTTATAAGCATTCAGCGTGAGGAAGTCGTCCAGCTCCGGTGACGTGCACTGCCTGGTGAAGATCCTGCAGGCCTCTTCAAACTTCCCACGCTTAAACTTCTCTAACCCCACCTCCATCTGGATCCTCGCCATCTCCTCTTCCACCACCCTTCCGAACAGCTCCGGCGTCACCCTCACCCTCACCTCCTCGCCGTCCAGCACCGCGCCGTACTTCAACCACTGCCAGTTCTGGACCCTGCTGATCTCCGCGGTGGCTGCGTCCTCCATGAGGTTGTAGAGGGGCACCGACCCCGTGCCGGTGAGCCAGGCCGCTAGGTACTGGATGCCGACGCGAGTGTTCAGCCGGAGGCCTTCCATCGTCCTCACGCCCCGGGCCCTCTGCAGGAGGTCCTCCTCGGTGATGTTTCCGGCATCTTCTCTCCTCGCCATCTGAATCTGGTTGGGTTTGCCGCCCATGTTGCTGGTGAAGACTTCCATGATAGGCGGGATCAGGCCGGGGTGAGCCGCCCAGGTCCCGTCGTGGCCGGCGCGGACCTCTCGCAGCTTGTCCTTCCGCACCAACTCGACAGCGGCTTCGTTCGCCGCCGGGTTATCCTTGATTGGGATTTGGGCAGCCTTTCACATAGCAGAACGATCGATCAGTGCACCGACATATCTTCGTTGATGGAGAAGCTCTCAGAGATTAAGGTTCATGGCGTACCATGCCGCCCATGGCGTGGACGCCGCGACGGTGGCAGGTGCGGATGAGGAGGTCGGAGTAGCTCCGCATGAAGTGTTGGGTCATCCCGACTTGGACGCGGTCGGGGAGGAGGCGGTCCGGATGGCCTTGGAAGGTCTTGACGTAGCTGAAGATGTAGTCCCATCTCCCACAGTTGAGCCCGATGGAGTGATCCCTCAGCTCGTAAAGGATCTCGTCCATCTGAAACACCGCGGGAAGCGTCTCAATCAGGACCGTCGCCCTGATGCTCCCCTTCTCTATTCCCGCGAACTTCTCGGCCCTCTCGAACACACGGTTCCATATCTTCGCCTCCCTTTGAAGCTCATAATCACCTTGTCAAGTGTTTGATAAAATGTTGCAGATGAAAGTAGTGAAACAGGTGTCCAGCTCTAAGCTAACCTCGAGTGCTCTATCTTGGGGAGATAGAAGAAAGGCCCGTAACAATCGCCTTGAGTGGCCCGGAACTTGGCATGGTTGTGGAAGAAGTAAAGACCGAAGTCCACAAGGCAGCCGATCACAGGCGCGCCGTCTACGAGGATATGGTCCTCCGGCAGGTGCCAACCCCGGGGCCGGACGAAGAGCTTCGCAGTCTCGTCGTTAAGCTTGTACACCCTGTTCCGTGCCTGGTCATTGAAACTTATCGTCCCGTTTACGGCGTCTCGCAGGTTGACTTGGCCTCTCATCAGGTTCTCCCAGCTCGGCGACAGGGCATCCTCGAAGTCAGCCTGCAAAGGAGCTCCATTGAATGAGGTAATGGAAGACACTTTTTGGCGCTCTCATCATTCTAGGCCTGTTAGAGTTGAACTTAGTTTGTTTCCTCAAGTGCTCAGCTATTTGCCAAAGCTTAGCAGCTATTTCTCGAGGAATTCCTTCGACGGAATTGAGTATAATGCATCTGAACACATTTGGCAGTTCATCTTTCACTCATCAGCATGGTCAATGGATCATTTAATTGGAGACAAGCAATAACATGTACCATGAAGACTTTGGCTCCGGAGTTGAGTGCGTTGATGATCATCTTCCGCTCGACCGGTCCAGTGATCTCGACGGTCCGGTTGGCGACGGCCGGGGGCACCAGCGCGCACGCCCAGTCGCCTTCCCTGATAAGCCTCGTCGCCGGGTCGAACCCCGGCAGCTCGCCGGAATTGTACCTCCTCTGTACCTCGCGGCGGCACTCCATCGCGTACCGAATGTGGTCGCGGAACTCCCGCTGCAACGCCGCGACGAACTGCAAGGCATCCCTGGTGAGGATCCCTGCGAACTCCTCGTCGTACCTCCCCCCGACGTCCACCCCCTCCGGCACGTCATAGAAGCCCAGGTAAGTAGCCATCATCAAAGCTCTTTATATATAGACTTGTTCCGGTGTTATACTGCCGTTCTATGTGAAGGGGTATAGTATATATATAGACGCGGACGAAATCAACAGGGAAGGGAGTGGATACCGGATATGCATGGTGTCTTGCCATGGAGAGAGAGAGAGAGAGAGAGAGAGAGAGGAGATTGGTTGGAGTTTAGTGCGTAAGATGAACGGGGATAAGAGTCAGTTGTACTTGGGGTTTTGTGTCATGGCATGGGCTCTGCAATCTGCCGACGTAGGAAGGCGTAGTTCACACGGAGCCCAGTTAGCCAATTTATATGGGCATGCACCTCTAACAAGCTGAGGTGGCAGCATGTTGGGCGTCGGATTTTAGATGTACGACCAGGAGGGTTCCTCTGCGGATAACCATTACACTCCAGTTGCTTCTACGGAAGCTGTTGCCGTAGTAGTCAGAATGATCGAACCAGTTAAGTCTCCGATCATTATGAATTTATTCGATCATAGATTTAATTATATATATATATATATACATATAACTGGATTTACCTTTTTGTTGCGTGCTATTGATTTTCGATGTTTACCGTATTATTGTCACTATTTCAGTTGCTAGCATGTCGATACAATCATAATAACCAAAGACAAGCGGGATGATGATTTTTAATTCAAAAAACATTGATCGATATTGGACGATCTCTGAATTGTTTTGAAGATAACTTATTGCTTACATTATTTATTATAATGTCTTTATAATAAGATAGGTGATAACAAATAGGCATGGACATACAATAAAGTTTGTTATTCCAAAATTAGCCACATTAGTATTACTATAGAAATATTTTGAGTTAAGAATGATTCAGAAAATATTTTCCTAATAATAAGTTATTAGGGAACTTCTACTATAGGTAAAGCACGATCCACAGCTTGGGCTATACTCTCTTTCTTTTCTTCTTTTTATCTCTTCTATCTTGGAAAACCTACCGATTTAGTTGAGGGTGGACCCGATGACGAATGGGTTGGAGACTGACTTTTAACTGATGTAGGATGGTGGAGATTTCATTGCGATTCTTAATTGCAGCGTATCAAATAATCATTAGTTGTGTTATGTCTTAAATATTTCTTGGCGTCGGATGTGAATTTGCCAATTAGCATGCTATTTTTTTTTAAAAAAATTCTTCCACATATATGCATATGAAAATCAAACCAGAAGACCCTCTTGGATACAGACAATCCATCAATTGACATCATGTTGATTGTGAGCTAGTAATATCTTGTAGTAAACATGTTTGCAAACTGCTAGGTTGTGGTCACAATAACTAGTTGTCTTCATTGAAAGATGTTTTCCATTGTAAGGGGTGGCTAAAGTTTGGATGGTATATAGCCCTTGCATTCCTTTCATTTGGAACCATACAAGTGATATACATTTTATATCCATCTTGATTTCCTTTCAATCTTATTTTTTAATAAAATTGATACTTAAATAAGCTGTTGTCATTTTGAGTTTGTAGAAAGAAATGAATCAATAAAATATAATTCGATAGAATAACTTATTAACTTAATAAAATAAATCAATATTTCAAAATGTTTAGGTTTTTTTGTTAGACTTGTTATTATCCTATAAGCCAACTCAAATGGCATCTCACATCCAATATGAATGTAAAATTAGGGTAATTATGATGTCCACTTAAAGGTTCAAAGATAGCTTAGAAATATGAGATTCAGCCTATTGAGAAATACATGATATGATTCAAATTTGAGGTCTCCCTTCAATTTTTAAGATCCAAATATAATCTAAAATTAGACCTGAGATCCAACTTAGTAATGACTCCACGATATGAGACCTAAATTTGAGTTATTATAAATTTTCATACTTCAAAGTTAGACGTTCATTCAAGTAAGCATCCAAAATAGTACTTTTACAACTTTGATTTTTCATCTCCTTTTGCATTTATATCACTATTTATATTGAATTTGATAGGATGATCGATCGATTAACTAGATAAATTTAAATTGATAATTTAAACCTAAGTTAATGATAATAAGATTTATAATTGACTCAGGCCAGTGTTACAAATCATGAGCATCTTTTCCTACTCAAAAAAAATGTCAGGTCAGATGTTATTTTTCGTGGTAGTTTGGCAGCCTTTCAAAAGGCACTGTCAACTAAATTGGATTTGTCTTGCTCCCATTCAGCAGCACTGGCTGGACTTCGCTAATGGGAGAATTGAGATGCATCAGATGAGATGGGTGATGGGCTAATGGCCTCTCACTGATGGGTGGCTCCCATTAATCCATGGGGACCATTAGCTTTCGCTTGTGCCTCAAACACACCGTCCCCAATCCTGCTTCCTTCCCTTGTTCCACCCAATGCCCTGTTCATATACTTGGGGTCGATCGTCGATCGCTCGCCCTTTTCCACTGCCTCCAAAGCTCTTACCTTCACCGTTCTTCCTCCCCTGTTCTCACCGATTCCCTCGCCGTTCCTCGCTCCGGCCGATTGGGCCGCTGTCTTTTATGGTCGATTTCTTCGGTTTTTATGGCTCTCTGCCCTCGGTTTCGTCGAACCTTGTGGCAGATTCTGACCTTTTGAGCCTGGTTTCGGCGTTCCTTTCTTGATTGAAGCCCTAATCCATAAAATAAAATAAAATAAAATAAAGCGATTTTTCCCTTTAGTTTCTTGTTTCTTTTTCCATCCCGGCCTTCAAAATCCGGCTTTTTCAGCGATTTCTGTAATTTTCTGGCGTTGATTTCTGGTTCTGCAGCTTTGATTGTTCGTGATCTGTTTGCTTCGATAATTTTGGTGGATTTCGTCCCTTTCGAGAACGCTTAAATGGCTGGAGAAAGCTGCAATCTTGACAAAGATGAAGCGGAGATCTTCAAGCCCTCTCCCTCTTCTTCCCCTTCTCCTTCGCCACCTTCACCCCCATCGTCATCGCAACCGCCGCCGCCTTCTTCTGTCCTTCTGAAACCGAGCGAGGAATCCGGTATTCAGAGGCCCGAGATACCGGAATCTCCTCCGGCCCCCACGA